CGACCAAGAAACAATAACGATAATTCTCGCCGGTTGCTGAAGAAAACGCTCTTTCGGAGCAAAACACTCGCCGTGAGTCCGGCTCGTGACCATGCAACGGAAGACGCTGTTGCGCCTGCAATTTATGCCGTTTTGCCGGCAAACTACGCCGTTTTTACATTTTGATTGATGCCAGAGTGTGCAAACACTGAAAACTGCCGGCAGGCGAAAACAATTGCCATTTTAGGTTCTGACAAAACAGCAATAATTCTGCAAATGTTGGAAGACCCAGGCATTGGTCAAAACCATTTAATGTGATTACAGCGGTAAAGTGGATGGTGTCTCAGCAAATTACACCATTACAAAAAACATGGGGAGGGGTGGTGGGCTCACCAAAATCCGCCATTCGGATACACATTGATGTCTTGACTGCAGTTTATGTGCATACAGTCTGCAAATTTTCTCGGAGGCTCACTGGGCAAAACATAGATGAGCATCACCTGTTTCTGCAACTGCATAAGCATCGACATCTATAGCTTGTTATCCAGAACCGCAACTGCAAGGTCTTCAGGCGTCCACAAGGGATTTGGCCGCGCCTGTGCACTCTTAGAGGTGCGCCATTTGTGCCCGCAAATCTGCGAACAAAGTATTAAAAAAACAACATGCATACAACACTATCAGGTGGGATAACGCGCCGTCCTTCTTCCTCTGGTGTCATAGACAGCGGGATGAACAAGCCAAAACACCAAATCCCAAAGCTGTCTCATTGTATCCCCGTCAACACCGGACTTGCATGTGCATGGATGACTTGGCGGCATACAAACCTCATTTAAACAAGATCCAGAAAATCGGCGCGCCTCCTTGTTGTAAAGATTTCCCATCCGACAGGCCTGAGCAAATGCTTAGTGCGGTTCTGTCGCAAATAACCACCGGCAGAGGGAACAAGCGTTAACAATCCTGGAGTGGCTATACAAATGCACATTCGACGTTCGCAGCATTTCCCGACAAGCAAATGGCTTTCGAACGTCAGGCTACTCCATCAAGCATTCCTGTCAAAGAAAGCCTTGCATGTTGGACCCTTGCATTCACAGTTGAAGGCAGGCAAGGTTCAACAAAGGGTCTGCTTTTGGCTATATAATTCGACTATACATATACAACCTGCGCATTGTCCCCTCAACCATCACCCGGGATCAAAATGGGTTGGCGTGGCGGCCAAACTAGTCGTGGTCAATGCGTTTCCAAACAAACCACCAATTGAGGTCTAATTACCGTCCCACCCTAGCACAGGTTTATTGGGGATGGTGCCAACCCAAACCCCACGAGGCCCCATGCTTGCTTGCTTGCTTGCTTGCTTGCTTGCTTGCTTGCTTGCTTGCTTTCTTGCTGCTTGTCCAAGTGAGCGGAAAAGCAAGGTTCCCACTCGAACCAGCTGTTGCCACAAGATAGTCATGTCAAACACATTGTAGACTCTGCTCAGCGGATGAGACACAACATGCCTAAGAACCCGGGCATGTTCAATAGCAATGTCTCCCAAAAGCCTATTCTTTTACGTGAAGAGTCTTTACATGCGCAAAGTTTCTATGCGTTTGGGGAAAAGGCACGACTTCATTGAAACCTTCTCCCCTCCGGAATGTAAGCAATGCCTCAAACTGATGCACAATTTAGACACATCCCCGTACCATCCCATGTGTTTCTGGGTATCTTCGTTGTTGGGGGAGTCTCCTAGCAGACCTGAGTTGAGAGTTGCGAGGCTGATGGAAGTCCATCCCCAGCAAAAGCAAGCAAAATATCTTCAGAATGGCACTGGAAACTCAGCTACCTTTCGCGTGCATCCTTTTGTCTGCCTTTCACTCTGATTTGGTGCAGCACGGAAGTGACACGCCCCCTATCCCCCGTAGGGGTCGATGCCGATAAACAAACAACTGTATGACGAAAAGGATAACAAACACACTGTGAAGTTGCTAAACAAAACAGGCTGCCGGTGCTTTGGGCAGATACATGGGCAAGCGGTTCACGCAGTCTTGCAAAGACATGGTCTGGCCCTGCTGCACTGCGCGTACTGCGCATAACCTCGGCCGGGGACGACAAAGCAGGGGAAAGATGCGGTTGGATAATGCAACCGACAGTTGATAGAACTCATGTATGTGTGTATGCATGTATATATATAATATCTCAGTAGAACATACTAATGCGACAGGCCCTCAGGCTGAAAGAAGGGACCCTCGGAAAAAGATTCACCAGTCCAAAGGTTGCACACCCCATTTGCCGAATGAGTGTGTCCCACACGAGCAGCGCACCCTTCGCTGCAAGCTGCGAAGCTATGACTCCAAGGCCAGTAAGCCCTGCTCTCAACTCATCTATGAAACTTGCCACCAGCTGACTGCTAAATAGACTCCATTCCCAACCTGCGCGAAAAACAACGAGAGCCACCCATTTCTTGTTTATCAGTGTAAGTTGGAAACGGACTCCCAAGCAAAACAGAAAGGCTACTACGAGTACTGACCGGGTGGCGATCATAGACCAGTGTGTTTTTGTTCTTGACAAATGTTTGCATAGATCAGTATAATGAGCAGGGACTTTCATTCACGTGAAAGTTCTTGGCGGGCATTTGATTGTTACCTGGAAAGCAATGTTCACTCAGCCTTATTGAAGGCATTCCTGATTCAACTTAGATTGTGCCTCCCTCGACGCGGGGATGCTTGCATGGAACCTGAAGAGGGTTAATGCAAGATATCTCTCCCAGAGGCATCCTCTGTCAGGTTCCACATCGTGAATGCGATGACATTAATCAAGGACGCCCCATGGAAAGATTCGCCGCTCTATGTTTGAAACAAAGCACGGCTTGACATGTGCCTTGCCAGACCAAGCATAAAAACAATTGATCTCTATTGATCTCTGCTCTGATAATCTAAAACATGCTCAGCCTGCCCTTTCCAAACAATCTTCATTTCTACTATCGTTCCAAAACATGGAATGGGAATCCCAAGCAAAGCACCTACATCATGAGCTCATTCGCCTTCCCGCCCCCCCCCCCCCCACGCTCGCCATAAAGTAGGCAGAGCAATGCCGACTTGGTGCCCCTGGTGCCCCTGGTGCCCCTGGTGCGTGAATCCGCCCTTGGCGTTCTGCCACTAAAAAGCGTGCCACTGTCCAAACTCGTTGTTAGGGCCAAGCGACAAGACGAGGTCGCCCGCATTCGTTTTTAACTGGTGATCCCCTGAACATCAGGAGACTGCAAAGGGACAGGGATCTTGCAGCTTTCCTTCGTAAACATTACCCACCTAAAGGACACTCAGTTCAACTCATCCCAAAAAGAAGATACTTGAAACCACCAAAAGGGCTTTGTCCCCAAAGCACGGAGCCCGGCCATACTTTTCCCATGTGCTCAAGCAATTCATGGGTCATCTAAAATTTGAGGCCCCGCTTTGGTGGAAACCACGAGGAAGCCAAGGTTCTCGTCCAGCCGAACACGCCACACGCCCCGCTTTTGCCAGGTAGCTGGTGGCTGCGGCACCAGCATGCACGTTCAGCACAAGCCTGGCCGGACGTGCCACCGAAGCCGAAAATTTAGGCTCTCGTTAGCATATGTATGTAGATGTAGGTGTATATGTACGTGTATTATATATATATATGTTTGCATACATATGTTGGAGCCACTGTTGTGGCGGGTGTGAAATTATAGAGTTTGTTCCTGAAGCGGCCAAATCTGAGCCCATTTCGCCTTTCATACAAGCTCATCACACTGAAAGCTGGCATCAGATCTCGGATCTGAGGATCCTTCGTATTGAAGGCTGGCCCCAAACCAGCAAATCCTTTACATAAACCTGGGGAAAGGTGTTGTTCACAAAAAGCTGGAGCCAAACCCAATGAAACTGGAACTTTTCACTTTTGGCACCGAGGGGGTTCACATTAAAGAAATTAAAGCAGGTCCCACCGTATAAACATATATATGTATGTAGGTATATATATATATATGTACGTGTGCTCGAGCAGTTCAACATCTGAAATCGCTCGCCATTTGAAGATGTGCATTTTGACACGAGGCCTTGCGGGGCAGCAAGCACACTGACATGAGTTGTGATTCAAAGGGGGTACCCTGTCAAGTCTTGGCAGGGGGCGGAAAAAAATGAGAACACCGCAGCAGCTGCAGGTTTGAGAGGGGGTGCCGAACACAGTAAACATGTAAGGAAAAGCACAGGCTCCCTTGAAAAGGCGTAGCGTCAATTTCAGATCAGGTGTTCTCCTTCGCACACATTGAGGTCAAGCCCAAACTCCATCCATGCAACCCGGATATGTTTGCTGGCAAGCAACACCTGTGAACTATGTTGCTGCCATGGCGCAATCACGCTGGTGAACATTGGACACACTGAATAATACACCGACCTAGTTGTCAAGTGCATGCAACGCTTCCATCTTCGGCTGCAGCCGCCTTGCCACCTCCAGCGAGTCTTGGAGAGTCTCCGTCATGTAAAAGCCTCGTCAGAGAGCAAGGATGCTTTTGGTTGCATGTTGCTTGTCTCCGCCAATTCAAACATCAGAAAGGTACAACATGCTACAAACCATGGCTGGCATGCCATCTGTAATCTGGATCCGTGCGCAACGTCACAAACCGCGTGCGTGGCGTATTGAAGTCAGGAGGCCCATCTGCAGATTTTTTTATTTTTTATTTTAAGAGAAGAGTCTCACAAGAAGCAAGCCCTGCTCACGAGCTGCACTCCTACGGGATGCATTCAACCAGCTCGTAAGGCACTCAAGAGTGGCATACAACATCCCACGCATGTTCCCTGAAGGAATCCTAAACAGGACATGCACAAACTCGGGCCCCGAACATCTTGCAACATGTATCACGGGCGCAAAGCATCGCAACCGCAATACTCATGCATGGATTCCCCGTGTACGGCCGTTTGATTCCCCGTGTGGGCCTGCGATTTATTGCATGTGTCCAGGCTGAAGCTCTGCCGAGGGTCAGTGGGGCGGGTACTCGGTGTCGCCGCTCCATGCAGAGAACTGCGAGTACTGGATCACCCCCTGGCGGAAATGGGGGCAGTCTCCAACGTGGAACCTCAGTCCCGGATTCAAAGCAACATTACAGGGGGCAGCACGCCTCACGTTCCAATTTCTAGTCTGTGCCAAGGAAGAAATAGAATGCTCGTATTTGGCCGAGGAACGCTGCAAAACTATAGGGGAACATGAACCCATGCACATGATGTCATGTTTCCTTGCGTCCAAGCAACCCATGCCCTATATATGTATATAGTTGCATTCGAAGGGGATGCCTTTCAAAAGAGGACCCACATCAGCAATCGATACTCAGTGCAACAAATCCACACAGGTCTTGGAGTTGGCATGGGATTGGTTTCAGGAGGGTTTAGGATGGGCAAATGTTGGTTCCGGTTTGGGTTCAGGTAGGTTTAGGCAGGGCATGGGCAGAAGCCAATCAAAGTGGAAGGCACATTCCCACTCTCCAGCAGCGTGGCAGCGGCCCGCTCAGCGGCTGTGGCATACTCATCCGAATCGAGTCATTGCCACCAAGCCAAAAAGTGAATGAGGCGTCAACCCACATTGCTGCAGCGATCTCAGCAACGATGGTTGCCTTTTGCCTTGTATGCTCTGGGCTTGCACAAATATCCAAACCGCCAGCGTGGCTCAAGAATATGATTGCAGAACCGCAAACGACATATTTACCTTTGCCAACTCCTTCGAAGAGGGCATGTCCACATTTAAAAGGACCCTTCATTTCCCCAAACAGGCAGCCAAAAGCAAAGCCCTGTACTAAACAACTGTTTGCAACTCTCTACAGTATTCCCTGCATCAAAAAAAGAACGCATGGCGGACATCCAGAATGCTCTCGTTTGCGTTGCACTAATCATCAGTCAGTTGCGACAGGGTGAAAGCCTGACTGCGAGTAGAGAGCGAAGAAGTGGCTGTGAGATAGAGGTACAAGCTCGATATTGTCAAATATCTAGAGGATACAAGTATCTGCATACATGTTCGTAGCAGTAATCAACATCGATATGTGCTCGGGTGTTTCCAACAAATGGCCTCTTTCGCATGTGTTCAAGGAAAACCAAAAGGAACACATCCAACTTCGAGGGTCCCCCGTTTCTTGGACACACTCATGATTGCAAGTGCAATTGTTCCATCAACACCGCTGCTTAACACCAAAAATACATTAAACCCATGGTTCATGTATCCCAAAGGACCCCTGGGCCGTCATTTTCCGGCGCAAGCAACAAACCCCCCGCCTGCTGGGCAGAAGCCATCTTGCACTCCGTCTCATCCAAGATGGGGTGATCGCCTTGGCTCAGCACATCAATTGATTGTAGCTGCGGCGAAGTCATACATATAACTAATATGTACGTGCATAGGAAGCCCCATCACCATGCACTTGTGTACGCGAAATTGCATGTATGTATATAGATAGATATACGTGTGCATGCATGTCAGCATGCATTTGTGCAAGCATGCATGTTCTGTGTGCATGCATGCACACATGATGGATTCATGCTTATGCTATCGGTGCAGATCTGTGTTGCAGCATCGCGTTCTTAAGTTTGCCACAAGTAACACTCTGCGTAACGGCAAGGAAACCTGGCTCCAGTATAGTATCTAAACAAGCTTCCCTCTTCCAGTCAACACACACAGCTCCCGCAACCATGGAAGAAAGTGCAATGCGAATGACTGACTTTGGGTCCAGTACTGTGCATAAACGCCTGGGCAATCTGCTTAACAACAGGCGGCACACACACACAGAGAGTTGTCCAATGTATTGACAATGATGAGAACCCCATAAACAAGCTGCGCCGACTTGCATGTCAGTAAGGAAATGCTGAACACCTGGAATGCACAAGTGCATTCAGCGTGAGTCCAACAAATTTCCTCGAACCAAACCAGAACTTCCCCAGAGGAAAGTAGCCTCAGGCTCAGACATACTTTAGAATGGGATTGTAGGGTACCATGCATCACACTACCTCATGAAAAATAATGCGTGCCATCATTCAGCCCCTTATGTTCCGCCCTTCAGCCAGGTTGCAGTGACCATAGAAGAGCGTGCGCGAGGCAAAGGTCGGGCGTGCCACAACGGTCGGCTGAAGAAGCGCGAAGACCGGCATCTGAGCGCAACACGAGCAGGGCATGGGGTCCCGCGCGGGCATTTGGCAGGGGCAATGATGTGAGGCACTGAAAACGGGATTCACTTGTGTGTTCATTAACATTTAACTAAGGACCCTGAACTTAGAACAACTCTAAACACGGGCCGATATGAAGCCAGGTCCAAGGAGAACCTGAAAAAACGGCACAGCCATCACCAACAACTTGGCAGCGCCCATGTTTCGTCATGGGTCTAAGTTCCTAGTTACTCACCAAGTGCAAACTGGACTCCCTGCAAGGAACCTTCATAGGTGAAGTCCGCAGACCGAAGCCGTTTTTGGAGCTCAGATTTGCATTGCCAAGGTGCCGCTGCTTCCAAGCCAAGCTCCTGAAGGGCTGTGGTTTTGTGAGCCCGTGCCGCCGTTTACTCTCAGAAAACTAGGCTCACGACCACCCCTCGTTGTTGCACCGCAGGCGGAACCAGACCCGAGAAAGCCGAGCAAAGGCAAGTACCCATGTGAAAAGGCTCCAAATGGGGGATCTAGGTAACCATAGGTAACCCTTTGATTTTCTCTGAAGCTACAAAACTAAATCTCAACAACATGCCACACTCATGTCCAAGCTCCTACAGTACATACCAGCTAAATGGACATGCCGACAAGGGCTGTAAGCTGCTATAACTGTGCTGTACTGGGACTGTCCAGGCTGTGCATAATCCCTTCCCCCAATATCAAACGCGACCCCCCTGAAAGATATTTCATTTGTGGATGGTTTCAAAGGGAAACCAAAGTCGACTGCCAATGCTAGGCTGCAACCTCCCCGCCCCATTTCTCAGGGTCCCCCACTTGGGGAAAAACCCACAACCACCTTCCCCTCCAGTTAAGGACACACTCCCAAAACCATACTTTGCGTTTCAGTGCATCGCCATCAAAACCTGGCATAAGGCCGGATATCCCAACCTGCAACCAATTTATATCGAGTGTCCCTTCGCTTCACGAACCCGGATGTTGATTGTGGCCTGAAGATCGTTGAACGGACGCCACGCCTGGCTGAAGTCCACAACTTCAGCGAGAAGAGCGAGATATTTGCCTGGCCAAGGCGTCCTTTCGGCAAAAAAAAAGCACGATCAGGAGATTGAAAACAATCATAGCTGAAAACTGGGTTGTTCAAAAAGTGTGGGCAGTTCTAGTTCTAATCTGTAATCCGCAGGAAGGCACCACAAACAAGGTGTAAATAGCTAGATTTGCGAACTCCAGAAATTGAATGGAGTGAGATGATGGAGTGAGAGGGAACGGTTCGCCTTCCTTCCCGGTCGTTAACTCCCTGCCGTCGATGATTCCTAAGATTACGAAAAGACGAGGAACGAGGAAGAGAGAAGGAATCATCTGGATCACTCACTCATGTCCCTTCCTCAGTCTTCATTCATTGCCTCGTCCGGAAGGGAAAAGAGGCTCTCATTCACTCCCCAAGTTAACTCGAAGCAAACTGAAACCAGTGGAATTCATTGTTTCCAAGGGAAACTGACCTAAATGGACACCTAGCAGGGTTCAGCAGCCAACCGCGCGAGCTAAACCAGCTTGACCTCGTGCCAAGGCTTTAGACGCTGCCAGGGCTCTAGCGACACGACAAGGTTTGTTTTGCTCATTTTGTGTGTCAAAAATTTCAACCAGTCTCTGAGCAGAAGGACATGTATTGCAAAGCAAATAGTAACCCAAACATGTCCACACACACACACATGTACGATGGCCAAAACTCCGTTTGCAAACCCTCTGTGGGCCATCCATCAGGAACCTGTACAACTGTTTGAGAAGCAACATCGCCCTCCCTAAAAACCCGAAATTACACTCTCGCAAAACAACATGAAGCCCCAAACATCATCAGTCTCTCTGTTCTAGAGCAGTCTCCTTTTGGGGGGCCCCTTGCAGGCTCCATGTTCACTTGCAGGGGAACGAAGGGTGTTGCGACCGGTGAACCCGTGGATCCACAGCTCTCAAGCCCGGGCCTTTGTCCACGCTGTACAGCCCCATTTGGCCTACAGAACTCAACGGAGGCGCAACGCCCACTCGAATGTGCTTTCTAGAAAGCCAACAACTGCGTTCTAAATCAGGCCTTGTCAAGCGACAAGCACACGGGATGTCCAGCGACTTTTTGGTGCTACATGCGCCGCTGCATTCATGCTGCATGCCAGCCATGGTGAGGAAACACTGATCAAAACGAAACTGATTTGTTGCTTTGTTGGGCTGCCAGCACGGTACCCTCGCTTGCAAGCTGACCAGGAGCAAACGCTTCAAGTTGACCTTGGTAAGAAACCCTTGAAAAGCTTGACACAAACCATTGGACTCTCTGAGCCGAATCGAAAGAATCGTTCCAGGTTACCCGGGGTTTTCGAACAGAAGGCAGAGGGTAAGCTCGTCAGTTGAATCTGCAAATCTTACAATGTAATCATTTCAAAACCTGCAATGAGGGATCCCCAGTCAAGGACCTTCGTCATGGTGAGCTCCTTTCACCTCCCGCTGAGCTTGCCATGACAAGAAAGGCGTTGGAATGCAAAGCCACTATTCCAGCCAATGGTCTGTCAAAACACCCTGCCTGCTCCATTCGAGATGGCGCGGAACTGCACAGAGACGGGCAAGCGCGAACCTCACAGAGCAGTTGTTCATTGGTAGGGGCCTATGCATCCCCATCCCAAATTGGAAATCACCTTTAGATTATGTTTCATTTGCCCATTAAAGGGAACCAATGGATGTGCGCATACATTCATGAGGGGATGTTGCAGGCTACAGTACCCCTCAAAAGGAACCTTGGGTTCTGATGGCTGGGGGCCAACCCAGGAGCTTCGGCGAACCATAGCCCACATGGCTCAAAGCACTTGAACCTGGATTCTCTGCTCACCTGACTTGACGCGCAGGCTGTAAGTGATGACAAATTCTGCAAGTCCAAATCTGAGGCCAAATGCGACGTGAGTTGTCGTCGGCTTCCTCCCAAATACATGCCAGGATCAAATGCTACCTAGGATGCCTGTGAACCACGATCACAAAATGCTGCTGCCACAACGAACATGGGAAAACTTGTGAGTCAAATTGGTATTCGCAGGACATTCAATCAGTCCCCCCATATCCCGCTCAAATGTACTGTGGACTGATCAGTATGTTGACCGAAGCTCATCTGGCTTTTGCTCACCTCGAGCCGAGGCACAGTCTGCGGAGCCATGGTCCGGCCAGCATTGGCGAATGGTTGTGGAGGTCACATTGATGAGGCTGCCCTGAGCAATCCAGCATGCAAAGAACTGCACTGGCAATATGCAGCGCATGCTAGAGCATGTCAACACAAAGAAGCACTCACTCACACACGCACAAAGACGCATGTCTAGATGTCAACGTGTATAGATTTACGAGGTACACTATCATTGAGGCGTCCAGCTCCAATGATCACTTGTGTGATGCTGTATCGCTTGTCAAAGTGATGCTCCGTGGATTGAAGTAATCTGTGCATTTCAAAAGGGTCATAATCACAAGGACACAGGCCTCACCTTCGTATCCTCGTGGGCTTCCAATTCCATAGTATATTCTGGTGGTTCGGGGCCCATCCAAGGCACATGGCTGTATAGCGCTGCGTTCTTCGGTCCAAGCTGCAAATTGCAGGCTCCGCAACACGATGGTGCTGTCCCCACCGTCTGCGACGATCCACTGCTGGTTGGGCTGCCTGATGTCGGGATGATTGAGAACCTAGAATAGATTCTTACATGTGATAAAGTACCTTGCGTAATGTGGGAATCCGTATGGCGATCTTTCGAACCCCATTTAGGATGTGCCGACTGTCCATTCTCCATCAACCAGTGTCTTCTTGTGGCTCAGTTCTGCTTCAGGCGGGAGGTAACGTGTCAAACAACTGTTGTTGTTCCCTTGCTGACAGATTCGATTCCATTTCACTGAGCAAGTGCCATCATCCAAGAGGATTAGAGGACCAACGTCGTACACTCCCTGGAATTAAACAGGAAGCTCCGAAGCTTTTATTTTCTATTTTTTGCAGGTCAGTAGAAAAGCCAGGCTTTTGATAAATGCCAACATAGAAGTCCCTGGAGGTGTTTGGTCGGCTTCCGCATTTCAGAACACGCAGCTGACTTACTTCCGACGATGGTTTGGGCAACGGCTCCCTCAAACCCTCAAAAATCCTAACACCCCACTAACCGAACTCCCCCCCCCACACCCCTTCCAGAACTGGCCCAGAACCCCACCTAGGTACGACGTACGACTGGGCATGTGGGGGTGAGATTGACTCGGAAACAACATTTTTAGCATTAAGCGGTCGGACATACCGTAATCTTAAGCGTACAGAAAAAAATGCCGCTTCACGACTTTTCTCAGGGATATGCGAAACTGCTCCTAACATAATCATAGTTTCCCTATTGACCCACAAAAAACAAGAAGGAAAACGACGAGCCTGCACTTCCATGTTAAGCACACGTGTGCTCCTTTACACGGAAGTGTGCAGGGCCCATTTTCAGGTTCTATGTTAGCACACTTGCGTCGGTCAGAACGTGTGTGTTCACTCACGTTTTTTTCGTTTACATGGAAGTGCAGACTCGAAACCGGCCCCCCGAAGAATCTAGGGTTGTTTTGGGAAACCCCAGGATTGCCGTTGCGAGGGGCACCTGGCACAGATTCTATGTCAGGAGATGGTCGTACCTTCCCACCAAAAAAAAGACAGGCATTTCCCCAGGAAAAGACAGTGAAGGGACTTCCATGTTAGAGGGACTTCTGAGAGCACGGACTTCCTGTTTAATTCCAGGGAGTGTAACTCCTTTGAAGTTCAGTGTTGAAGGAAAGCAGGACCCACGAGAAGCCATCATGGCCCCCCTGGTTCTCTCAACGCCATGTGGAAACCCAGGCTGGGCTTTGCCCGCTTCCGAGGGCCAAGAGAACTGCGATCACCTTCCCAAAAGCAAATACGCAACCTAACAGAGGGACAGGGTGAGCGGATAGTTGTCGTGGGAATTTGCTTGTCAGGGCAGGCTTCCCCAGCCTTGACGAGCTGAACTACACGACTTCCCAAATGCTGGTGATTGCCAACATGTAGCATACGGCACCAATGCCAGCGCGTAAGTGCCACCAACAGCCGGAAACACCTATCAAACCAAGTCAGAACCGATACTATGCAAGGTAAATATAAAGGCATGCTTCAGCGACTGCTTGAGGGAGCCAAATCTGAGGGCAAACTCAATCGTGCTTAATCGGACAGTTATTAATACTACAGTGGCCATGATATGCTCAAACCTCACTCCGCAAGGCATTTTGGACACCCCTCACGCTTGAAGGGACCCAGACTAAACCACCAGGCTCACTTCAAGATCCCAGGAGCGGCCCCACCGGCGCCGCAAGTACCGTGCAGCCATCTGCCCCACAAGGCTCCGCAGTGAGGGCGCGGGAGGTCACTGAGCGGCTAAAGCCTGGAAGACGCCCATGGCAAGCAAGATTGGCCTGTTGGACCTGGTTTTGGGAAAACTAATTAATTACAGGGACCCCTCCTCTCCTAGAAAAATAGGAGAATGCAAGTTGGAAGCGAGAGGATGTTCACGCTTTGTGAACTTCGGAAACTAGGATGCATTTGAACTCTGCGTCCGTTTGTTTCTGAAAGGGGGATCTCCTTTGGAGGTCTCATGGGCAAGCCAAACACTCGAAGGGCCCCCCGCACGGCGCGCTATAGTTTTGAGACACACCCATCTCATGGCCAGACTACGAACCTGCAAGTGCTACAATCATTCCAAAACCTGAGTACAATTCTTGGTGAGCTCGTGCAAATAAACCCCCCAGGTGAGCTCGCCATACACGAAAACACCTCCAAGGAGCTAACGATGGAGCCCACCAGGGGCACGCACTCGTTGTCCTTCGCCAGGGAGTTGCTCGGACAGGTGCCCAGGCCTCGAGGTCACAGGCGAGAGGAAAAGTGTTGCGAGGGCCTACAGAAGTAAAAAGAATGGGGCTGTCGGGTGCTGGGAAACCAAAAGACACACTCACAAGATAATATTCTGAGTCAATAGAAGTTTCCCCTTTGCAGCAGTGGATGTGGACAGAGATTCCACAACCCAGGAGAAGAGCAGTGTTCCACAACCTTTATGATCGTCAGCTTCCATGATTGGAGAAGTGCTCCTTGCCTGCATTTGCCCATGTTGCATTTTTGTTTCCGCAAAGGCCGTGAAGAATGAAGAAGGGCTGTTTTTCAAAAAGACCTAAAACCCACCAAACAATGTGGGGGAGGCTACCAGTAGGAGAGTCGCAGCTGGCACTTCACCAAGGCGCAGGACTCCTGGAAGAGGAAGTGGGAGCCGCCTTGGAAAGAAGGCGCGCACGCCGCTTTCTTTTTCCGAGCTGGACATCAGATGCTTCCCAAAAGTCACATGCTTCACTGATTCACACAGGCTTCCTGTAGGTCGGCTGTAGTGATCCAAAGGGGAGATCGCCATTGAGCCAAATAAAAACACGGGCGCTGAAGGTCTGGGGACCTACGGGAACCGCTTGGGTGGGGGAAGCCGTCCCAAAGATAGGGTGACACGTGGAAAACCCTCAAATTCCCGGGCCGAAGGATCGCAGTCAGGACAAACTGAAACCAGCTTGGTTCCGTCCATGCTCAACACTCACCCACAAGCAACACCTGGGAATCTGTCAAGATACTTCTGAAGATGGTTGCTTCCTCTTCATATCCCTTCAAAACCAATTTCATAACCACAAAAATCCTCGGAAACCCCAAAAAAACCAACCTCTGCTTGTGAAACCGAGGCGCTGCAGGATGTGCAAATCCGTGGGCTGTCTCTGCAGGTGCTGCAGGTGCCCCCGGTGGAGCATTCCATGCAGCGCCCACAGCCTCCTGCACAAGACGCCGTTTCGGTGCCCGTTTCACGTTGGTTTCAAGGGAAACCAACGGGAGAACCCACTTCTTGGGGTCCTCTCGCACTCTCCAGGACTCCAGGGTTGCGCAATTCTCGCTTGAACCACCCTGAAGGACTCTTGGAATAAATTGCCGGTTTGAGCATAGCCATGGGATCAAAGGGCCAATCCTAGGTTTGCGGTTGGAGCCTTGGAGGGTTCCAGGTAGGTTTTCGGGGAGATGCCGGGGATACGACTCGGGCTTAGTTTTCGTGGCACCTCCCTGGTTGTCATGGCATGCCATGGCACCTGGAAGTTGATCTTGCAGGTATCCCGCAGGTGCTATGTGTGTGTCATAGTGATTTCTGGTTGCTTAATCACGGGAAGAACTAGCAATGGCAGGGAAACTACGTGCTCTCAGAACAGGTCTTGATGGCTGCCCTTGACTAGTAGCTGCCACACAAAGCACTCCAGCTCTGAGACAGAGCTGTTCAATTTGAGTGGCTGGACTAGCCGAGCGACTGCCATCTGCCAAGCTTTGATCATCAACTCGCAGTTCACATGGTCCACGTCACTCGTCTTGCTTTGAGGGTTGTCGAATGTTGTCGAAATGGGCCACTGTACCAAAGTCACCAAGTTGAACTGGTTGGGCTGTGACGAATTGGCAATTCAAACGAGGGCTGCATGGTTGCGTCTCACTCCCAGTCCATCTTCTTCGTGTGGCTTCACGAAGAAGGTCGTATTCGGACAGGCGCAGGTCTTGCCTGCAGGCTGAGTAGCTTGCCTGGAACCATCTAATTGCCCCTCGCCCAGTGCCCTGTGAGGGACAGATATGGGGAACATTGGGGAACGCTTTGCTGGCTAGACATACCACAAACCTGCAGGAACCTTCTGGTTGAAGATGTTCTGATGAAAGGGTTCTGCACACCTTTCTGAGGGATACGGGGCAGCAGGCTTTACCTGATGACTTCAGAAGCTTTCTCATGCAGCTTCACCCTTCCAGTATCCGAGTTAAGAGACAGTCTATCTTAGTGTCTTGTTGGACAACAAAACACTCGCAAATGATTCAAGACAAGAACCAGCGCCATTTGCTTTCAAGCGAAACAACAAAAACAGCTATGGATGCCTGCATGGTTACTTCTGAACATGGCAGAAGCGATAGGCCATTTGCAAAGGGCTATGACTCGCAGCTCAGCATGAACGGACAGTGCGTTTCGCGTGAACTAATAAAACATTTGGGTTTACTTTTCCAAACCAAGTGCCTTTGCGTCGTAACAAAGTTGATGGCCGCCTTTTGTCTACAGCACGCTGTGCATCCCCAGTTTGCGTTATTTGTTTTGTTCAGGACGTCTCGAAAGTACCCCATGCGGATGCTCCAGCCTTCGGCTGCATCCACAAGTTGGGCCTTTCCATGACAGTCGATGCAGTTCGAAGCGCTGCCACGGCACTCCTAAGGTGACTGGTGACATGCTGCAAATGCCATGATATCTATGACCTTGCTGGCTGGTGTTGGAAGGGGCACAAAACGGCACCAAAACATGTTTGACTTCGCACCTGAGCCCTGGTGCTGCTAGAACTCTCCAAATCCTCTGCGGAAACAAATGCGCCTGTGCACGATATGGTCAACAAGGTTTTGCCCTGGTCCAAAGAAGCCCGAAACTGCACTGTTCTGCACAATGCAGCAGTGACGCTTGTGCAGTCAGTGCAAACAATAGTGTCCAATGGATGCCAGCTGGTGGAATTAGGCTGGAATTAGTCTGATGGACAAATGACAGAGATCTCTAAACCAAGGTACGCTTTCCAAGCTTGTAGTGCTGGTATCTGTATAATTTCATGACTTGGATATGTGTGGAAACTAGGTGGGCAGCAAATGAAAGTGTATATTCCAATGTCCCTTCACACCAACGTGAAAAGCGGGGGACCCTCAACAAACACACGCGCCTATATCCCAGCCTATATCCTTCGATCGTTTCTTGGAGAGTGGCATCAAGCCAAAGCAAAACGTTTCCAAGACAATTGTGTGTGGTGTGTGTGTGTGGTGTGTGTGTGTGTGGATACTTGACTGGATAACTAGATTCAGACATGACCATGGGATAACCTGATCATACAAGAACCATGTTTGCAATGATAGAGGCCCTCACAATACGGCATCAAGGCTGTTCGGGGTGGTCGTCTAGATGTCTTGCCCAATCAGGTTGCTTGGCTTCCGCCATCACCAGTTGTCAATTATTGCAAGCAAAAACAAATAACATGCTTGTGGGGTACCAATCATCTTGCAAACAAAATGTCGGTCAACACTTCCCCTGATGCGATTTAGCTACAGCAAGCCCTTGCATTTGTCTTTGTTGGCAAGCTTCCTTGCAAGGACAGTCACAGGGTTGGCACACGTCGGTGCCGCTGGCGTCGTACATGCCAGAAGGGCACTGGCAGGTGCTGTTCACAAGGTTGCGCTTGTGAGGCACGTGGCAGGAAGTGCACGTCTCTGCATTCCCCACCTCAAGTCGCTGACTCGCAAGCCACCGAAACATCTGATCATATGTATATATGTATAATATTACATGCCGTTCTCGCAAAAGACATGCTGGTTGTTGCGGGACATTTAGTGAGTCCGAAAATGTCCTTCCGAAGCGACCACTCATGTACAGTACTGGCTATGTTGACCAAACCTCAATGAGGGGTAGACACACTGCCCTTACAACAAAGTCGAGAGAGCTTGCCTGCGCATTTGATGTCGTGGGGGGTCTCAAAATCAGGACCCCAGCAAGCGCTCGTCGTTTCGGGTCTTCTCGCCCACGTACTCAGATATTTATTTAACCTAGGGACCCTTGTTGGCACGCGTTTGAAGGCGCAATGGGGACATATAACTACGCCTTCATGACTTGCCTGAAGGACTCACATCAAATAATGCAAACCCTTGGGGGGCCTTGACTCACAGTCACCAAGCTAGTTAGGATTGGGCCCCTGTGGTGTTTAAACATGTTCAAACTGATGTTGTTTAAACAACCTGCTTTTGGCTTCCCGTTACTCTGGCAATCCGAGATGCGCAGGTCTTGCAGGTCCCCGCGCAAGGAAGGCAATGGCCTTCAGGCCCTTCATACCTCACGAGCGCGGACTGAAACTACTTCCAATGTTACCATGAACTTGTCATTTGAGCTGGTTCCCGTTAAACCCTGTGTCGTTTCCCTGCCTACCAGATGGCGGGTGGCCCTGGAAAAGGATCCTTTTTTTGGTTCGGAACCCCTGGGAAGCCTTTACTTTTGGAACGCAAACCGGCCAAAAGAAAGATCAAACACAAGGGACGAGTCTTACTTTCTGAATCATACCCAGATAATACATGAGTGACGCAAAATACGACAAGAAGCTGGTACCATACCAATCAATACCACTGAAAGGGGCCTGAGGCATACTGTCTATACCCGAAACCATTTTGTTTTTGTCTTTGTTCCAACTGGTTGAAAGGAGCACCCCAACAACCACAATTGCCTCCGTTCACCAAAGCAAACATCAAGGCAAACCTCTTCCGACTGTGTCTTCAATGCCAGGCTATTCCACAAAAAGTTCACGGTCCTGAGGGCTGTACCAATGCCTAAACTGGGTAGATTCAGGGTGTAGACAAAAACTGGGAGTTACAGGTGTACCTGTCCCTCTTGCGGGATTTGGCACACCTGAGACCTCTACCTGTAGCTATACTGGAGGGGTATAGGTATGACCTATACTGGGGTTCTGGGTTCTGTCTGGGCATAATGTGCCAGAAAGTGAAAAATTGGCATAGCTTAGCGCCGAAAAGGAAATGCCGGCTGGTGCTTCGTTTGCAATGTTTGCAACAGCTCTGCTCAGACGTTCAAAGAGTCTGTCTGTGAAAGTGGCCGTGCCTCCGGGAAAGGCACCCTGAGCTCTCCTGGCTAGAGTCTTATAATGCAACAGCTCTTCTCAGACGATCGACAAGTCGGTCTCCAAAAGTGGCCGTGCCATGAAAGGCACTCTGAGCTCTCCTCGCTGGAATGCAATAGCTCTTCTCACACGATCGAAACGACTGTCTCCGAAAGTTGCCGTGCCAAGGGAGAGGGCGGCCTGAGCTCTCCTCGCTACAATGCAACAGCTCTTCTCACACGTTCGCAAAGTCTGTCTCGGAAAGTGGCCTTGCCGTTGGGAAAATCCAGCCTAGCTAGAAATTGAGAGCACACATGCCCTACGAGCAGGTGGTAAACGCAGAGCTAGCTCAAAAGTCCATGAGACGGCAGACTTCCCTTTTGAGAGGACCCTTTTCACAAGCCCTCATCTGAGCCAATGATCACGCAGCGAGCTTTTCGTGAAATTAGCCTTTGTTTTTGCCTTCGTACCAGCTCGCGCCCAGCTTTCTTCCAAGCAATATCCACGTAATTGCCAAGGCTCTTGGACCTTGCAAGTAAAGCCTGGGTGTCAAAACCTGCTCGGTTACCGCGAAATCCACCCCGCACTTTTTGCACCATGAACTCAAGAGAGCTCTACCCGAGTTAAAGCCACAACGGCAGCGGAGACTACACACATGCGCGAATGACTAAGGACATGCGCGAATGACCCGTGACATATTGGATCTCTTCTCAAATGGTAAACGCCGCCATTGCCGACGCTGATCTAAATAACAAAACACAGCACTCAGAACCTGAAATGCTAGGAATGCAACCACTTTATTGGCTGAGCAGACTGCTCAAAATGAAAAGCTTCGTTTCAAAGACTTGCCTTCGTTTTTGCGGGTTTTTGACCCTATTCCACTCCAATACATATCTCTTGTACGGACCTTTTTAGTGGTAGCTCAAAATTTGCTGTTGGCCAGACAAGTCCCATGCTCAACTCAGGATGTTAATTGCACATTTACAACAGGCAACCAATTAATTCGACAATCAGATTGAATGCATGCCAACAAGCAGGGCCAGCACACACAGCCACGTGAGCCACGTGCGCTGCCTAAAAAATACTAACAACCCCGGGTAAACGGGTCCTTTATATAAATATGGCACATGGATAATGAAGTCGAAAGCTCTCCCCGAGAGCAGTTCCAAAGACGAAGTGGAGGCAGCCAATTGAGCTGGAAGATTCATATTCCTTAAGACTATCCACGAGTTCAACAGCAGGGCAAAACACTACAACATACCGTTGGCCACAAATGACACCAACATGTACAAATTACGCTGCGCATGCCCATTCTCGTCTGTGGCGTTTCCAAGCAGAACGCCAAATCATCTGTGCCACGGTCTGAAGTTCTGAAGTCCTTCCGTGGGTCATGAGGAACCCTTGTACATTGTAATGCCTGTCAAAATTCCCTAGGAAGGGGTTCATGACAGTTCGACAGGATGGTTCGACCATACATATGGTGCCTTCTAATACAAGGAGCTAAATCATTACGAACAGTTTAATCCAACAAAACAACACGATAAATGCAAATGCTAGTTTTAGAGTACCTGGCGATATTGCCCCAGCTCGCCGACGTGGTGCTCCCCATCAGGGCAAATGCAGGAGGAGCCTGCCAAAGAGCAAGTCACTGATAGGTTGATTGTCTGAGACGCGCATGCAACCGCAAGACTGTCCATAGTTTGTCGATTCCTTGCTAAATTTCAACCTTACAGCATGTCACAAATCACACTAACTTGTCTTAAGTTCTAAAGCGTCTACGCGTATGGCTGGAAACTGCCAAAAGTAGAGACAAGGCATCTAGAACCGAAGCCGAACACACTAAAGCCTCATCGTGTGAAGACATGAAGGACCAGCTGTCAACGCCCACGGGGCTTACCAAGGCTTACCAAGGCCTTCTTGCTCCTTGGGGACTCCCGTATCGCCTCACTGACCAGTTCGAATGTGTTTTCTCACACATGGATGATGCAAAGTGCATCTCGGAAAGTTTGCCATTCGCCCCATGGTCAACACAACGTTGTGGTTCCTGAACTCGATGTCTCAGGCCCATAGTCATTGCAAGCAGCCCCGGAAATACTGAAGTGGCAGACTATGACTGAATGCAAAGTAACAAAAAAAGATAGTGGAGAACTCGCATGGGTCTGTCTTCAATCGAGGGATCAAAAAGGGTTCCGGATACCCGTCCCCTGCTTTGGGAGAGATTGTGGGAACGCTTCGCTGGGCGTTCTCGTGCATCGCTTCGCGAGCTAATAAGCTCTGCACAGTTCGAAGGCGTCCCCACGCTACTATGGCAGATGTGGCCAACACTCGGTCTCTTGAAATGAACTCTTTTGCGATTCTCAAAATGTCTCCCCTGCCAAATTTGTTTGTTCCGTTTGGCTTCCATTTTAAGCAGCCTCCAAAAGTGGATTCCCCAAAACCACATGGTCAAAGACCCGCGAAACAAGGTAGCATTGACCGGCCCGACCGGGTTACTGTCAACTAGCCGTTCGACTGCGTTCGACTGTGTTGTTCTCAACTCTGGCCTTGCAAGAACTTGCCATGGTCCTCCCGGCAGGATGTGCAATTCTGAGCCTGGGATATCACAGCTCACGGCGCTGTTCGAAGTAGGAATGCTGATAACGGGGGGTCTGGAAACCAAACATCAGCGATCCACTGTTGGTGTTCTTCTGGGAATTGTTCCCTTTAATTATGGGCTGTTTTAAGTGCAAGCCGTCATTTCTCACTGCTAAGCTGATGACCATGGAAAAAACTAAGGGCTGTGATCGCACCATGTACATGTTAACTGCTCATCAAAGCCATGCCGAGACAACGACATTGCACTCTGGGTGGCAGATTGCTCGGATTATCTCACTACCCGTAGCTGCAGAAATCACGCTGGATCTCCAGGTCAAGCTACAACACAATGTGTGTCTCTCTCTCTCTGTGTTGAATGATACCTGAAAAATTGTCAAAACCCTAGATAAGCAAAGCAAACAACACAAGTTGAGAGACTCAAAGCAGCCAGTCAGAAGCAAGTCGACCATGACTTGCCGATTGAAATTCACAAATTGGAACTTCATCATGGGTGAGCTCGTTTTACCCCGAGAGCTGACCATTTGTGCAAATACGGTGGAATCCCTATTGCGAATGAACCAATCGCATCAACGCGGTAAATTAGGTGTCCCTCTAGAGATGTCTGAAAAATTAAGCATGCCCATCTCTTCGAGTCTTTGGCATTCCTTCTTGACAAAATACCAGCTGTAGACTTAATTACATCCTATTTAGGACCTAGCCTTGCTCCACTCGCAAGATTTCCAGGGTCTCTTCGTATCTGCGAGGGGCGGATCCACCACAGGTGGCGCAGCCTCTGTCGCAGGGCTCGCACATCTCGGCGCCCCAGAAGGTTCCTGGAGACAACCCTGTATGCAAGCAAACCTCCCCCCCATGCACCCCACAGTAATGGGTCATATATTGTATAACTCAACTAATCAGCAACCTCAAGCAGGGTCTGCCAGGACACACCCAAATTCCTACTGTCAAGAGTCAAGAGTATATTGTGACACCCCTCACAGGGGATTTCACTACTGGGGTGGCCCTTTAAAGGTCTTAGCACTTTTAGGACACATCGACACATTGTGACACATGGATGCTATCTGAGGCAAATCACTTCATATCATTAACCCATCTGAGATACTGGATCACCCTGTAGTGGCTCCCCGTAAGCTGTGGATTTCAACCTCAAAGCAAACAAAAGCATGAGCTTGGAACCAACCTGAAACTGGGGCCTCCCTGTGATGAAGTAGGTTAGTATCTTGAATAAGTTGCATCTGAAACTAGGAATCCCCGCGAAAACAACCTTCATCCTAAGTCGGAAGCCCCTTGATGAGGCCGATGAAATGAGTCCAAATGAATGCGACGCGTCAACTGCCTGGCCTGCAGGACAAACGCAGGTGTCGCCATCCAAAACCTCCGAAAGGAGACAGTTGTCTGGACTGACCATGGACAAAGACCCTCCGAATCTGTGCTTCCAACACATGGACTCCTTTTGGATGGCACTACAGAAGGAAACAGGGGCTGCTCTGAAGTCAACAAGTCGGAAAGGTTGGTTTGCAACAGAGCAGCTGCGGAAATCCAAACGTGCACACAGCACCCATAAATGGTGTCGCTTCTTTGGTTGGTCCTTCCCTTTCGGCTTCCCTCTGTAGCGCTAACTGTCGCATCCCAACGACGCCCAATGAATGATCATGCCCGGTGGGCCAAGGCATAGTGTTCTACTGGCTGGAACTCTCAGCTGCTCACTGTTTATACTCAACCAGCGCTAGGTCAATGGCAGAATCCATACTGAACAACTGCTGTCTCCTGTCCACCGATGAGAGTTGGTTTGTTCAACTGGGAATACTATAGGTAAAGTTTGTTAAAATGGGGGCAAGCCGGAGTAGCGTCAATACGCATTGTGAGTTCGGTGAGCTGAAGTGCTTTGCGGAAGCAAAACAATGGAGCCCACCCCAAAGCTGGTGCAGGATGGTACGCAGGATGCCAGTCTTGTTACTGCAACTCTAGATCAACCTATAGTCCTAAACTTGGGCTTCAAGACAGTACCCAACATTGCCCTGAATCTCGTCTTCCGCCGCGTCACCATGTTCAGCGTCTCGAAGCACGCTGTGCAGTGGCTCGCCTTGCCTGCGCTCACTGCTGCATGGACAGTGTGGATCTTGGGGCCCCGTCTGCGAGCAAGCAGTAGCTCATAGTTTCTGGTTTGGGAGTTCACACCCTGGTGCTTGTGTCAAGACACCTTCAGGGCAATCCGGCCATCGCCTTGGTCAAACAGAAAAGTATTGACAAACCGCCAATGGACCAAGCCCGGGAAAGCTTGCGCTGGCAGCAAGAAAGAAGTTAACAAGGATGGTCGGTATAAGAAAGGTCCCCATGACACGCCCCATCAAACCATTGAATGTAATGCTTAGCTTCCCTGGGCAAGATTCAAAACAACTCAAACGGCCCACACAAGGCCATGCAAAGCAGCTACTGCAGCCTCTTGCCACGGGGTTGCTTTCGGACAGATGGAGTCGTGATTGGACCTTCTCAATAGACGGAAGACGTGGCGCTCGGGCGTTGGACAAGCATCTTATAATACGCTTCTCACGAGGCATTGCGCCTTTGACGCCTGTCCACGGGCTAAAGAAACAGCAAGCACAAACGACGTGTCATCATGTGTCATCTATGTTGCTGTTTCATTGGTCTCCTTTGAACATATACCAAAGGGACCCCTTGTGTTTGAGACACTCCAATGGCTCTCGCGGATTGGGTCTTCCCCGTTCAACTCATGACAGCAGCAGTTTAAAGGGCATGCCAAATTGAAAACTTGCTTTTTCTGCCGGAAACACCCAGTTCCTATCATAGTGTTTCTGGTCTAACAATGGGTGCCACATCCAATCAAGTCCGTGGCTAGACACATAGATTAGATTCCTGCCAAACAAGAACTTAGAGGAAGCAAAGTGCATGTCTATAGCATCTATCCTCAGCTTGGTGGAATACTTCGATTGGGGAGCAACAAAGACCGATTTTCCATGAGCAGCAATGTATATGACGTCAATCTGAGTTCTTTCATGCATGAACCTGAAGCAAGCAAGCCATTCTTATTGTCAACCATAATGTGCTCCTTTGAAAGCAGCCTTCGCAGGTAGCACACGGTCGGGCGCAGGCATGGCATACTCCGTCTTTGTCGAACTTCCCATGCGGGCACTCTTCCAAGCAGGCGTTGTCATCCTGAGAAAGTTGTGCCAAAACTAGCTGCGTAGTAGCAAAATAAAGACAGTGAAAAATAGAGAGAGAGAGAGAAAGAAAGAAAAATAAGACAAACATGATGCACCACTAAACTGACAAGGCGGGGAGGTTTGTGCCGAAGAGTTGGATTTCAATCTGTTCCTGTCTAAATAAGAGCATCCCACCCAGCTTCTAAACGCTCTTGAAAGGTTTTTTTTTTAAAGTTCGAGTTGTTGTTAATATGACATGGTCTCTTCAACGCGATTCCACTGGGCGGACATCTCAGGCCATTTTGTTGGCTGTAGGACGACCATCAGGCCTGGCCTCTAAAGCAAATGCCTGGTGCATCAAACAGTTCAGTTGCCCCGTGAGCCGGGGTTGTCCTGAAATGCGCGAGATCGCGCAAGCTGATACGCACGCGCCCTTGGTTTTATCTCGGCACAAAAACACTAGTGGCTGTCAACACAAACCCTTGTGTGATCACCCCAATCCGCAAAAACCAGATCGGGCAAAGAAAGAACTTCAAATTATGTCACTGCCTCATATTCCAGATTCACAAAACCAGGCGTTGACATGCCCCTTTCAGGCTTAATGTATTCCTGGCACCTGCCCAGCAGGCACTTCAACTTTCCCGTGCCCATCCATAGTCCGCAACAAATCCCTTCCCGACAACCTTACAATTTCTTCGGGTGGCCTTTGCTGGTATGCGTACACCCAACTTGTAACTCACCTGTACCTGCCAAACGTTTCCCACGCGTCCCGCACCCCCTGACGCGAGGCTCCAAAACCTTGGGCTTGTTGCAGGAGGTGCACTTCGTCCTCGCGTCTACGCCTTGGAGCTCAGAGTCGATCGGCTCTATGAAACGACCCATCAACTGGCGCGAAGTGAGTTTGGATGATCCACGGCCACACTAAGCCTGAAATCCACGTCAATCATATCACCACCTCATGCTACTGTCAAGCTGGTCCTGTTGTCGCAGGCTGGCAGCACCTACAGTAAGTTGAAAGTCAACCAATGTCAGCTGGTTAATGTCGGTTTCGCTGTCCACGGATAGTCTTGGCTCAATAAATTATTTAAAACGACCATGTTGTAAGCTAGGGGGAGCCTTCAATCGGTGAGCTATTGTTGTTCATGGTTTCCGGCTTTCAATCAGTGGTGCATTTGAGCTTCATTTGAATACCATCCCAAAACAGCATCAAACAGGATCCCGTGGAGTAATTACCAAACTTCAATCCTGATGGCCACTCGGGACAAGCTCATTCAAAGGATTTTGAATTGACCATCTGCGACAAATAGTCATAGACCCACTAGCCATCATTGGAGCATGTAAGCGTAACCTTCAAATCTCAATGAGCGGTCCTGATGTCCAGCCCTTCAACCCTCACTCATTTTACTTTCCTGGCAAATGTCTGTTGGTTCCATCTGAAGCTGCCGGGAAGTTGTTATGAGCAGCTCCCAGCGACTCCCAGGCGCTGAACGCCCTATTGCCAAATATTCTGCGAGGCTGACTTTCCCAACGGGTTGAAGTCTGACTGTTTTGTTTCGCAGCACTTGTCAAGGCTCCCACAAGGGGGTGACAGTCGGATACAGTTGGCTTTGAGTCCAAAGCAGGGGTCATGATTTCCAACTCACCCAAAGTGTCACCGACATTCACCGATGCGGGAAGCAACCTGCTTGCTATTTGTTGGGCATAGGCCACTAGCACTCCAGTTCAGGCAGATGTTGGATAGGTGTAGCTTTCCGCCCTTGTCGCGTTTCAGCAGGTGATTTGTCGGATAGACTCCCTTCTTTGCAATCAGGTTTTCATTATGACTCACGTGCACTGGTTGGACAGTTCATTTAGACAGTTTATTTAGATAACCCACTTTTCTGTGGTGAAAATGGAGTCCGCCAGGCCGCGTCCCAGGCATTGATGACTCACGCCAACATGCCAATACGGCAATTCAGGTTTGTGTTTTGCTTAAAGGTTGATTTTGCATGGTTTTGGATCAGACTGGAAACCCACAAATAGTCCTTGTCCCAAAAGAAGATTCCGGCCAAGAGTAAATATCAAACCAGCATGGTTCCCATCGACCAATCAACGGCTCCCACCTTTGATCTTCCCAACACGTTGGGAGCCTAAAAACCAAAACCTTCCCAAAACAAGCCCAAGTCACAAGTAGCGCACCTTCCAGCGCATCGCCTGCACTCCTTGGCAAAATGCCGCTGACACGACGGCTCACAGCTCTCCTGAAAACCATGGAAGGAAGGCCCAGGAGCTGAAAAGGAAGCTGGGCTTTGTGTTTTGAACCATTCTTAAGCGGGTCTGAAACAAAACGACTTGCACGGTTGCATGGAGCCAGGTCTAGGGCACATCACTGCTGTGCACATTTCAGGGCAAGTCCCTATACTTCACACACACATGAAAGAAGGAATGCCCAAGGAAGGAACCTTCATCATGGTTGAGGTAGAGCCACACCAGGGCCAGGCCAAAACCTGAATGAGTTGCCCCACAGTCTGTACTAAAACAGTGCGCTCTTCATGTCGGAAACAACACAATATGATAAAGGTATAAGATTGTTTCTTGCAGGCACAACAAGAAGCCAATCATTTGCATCCATCCCTTGTTGGAGGAGACTTAGCACATTTAGCATTATATTCTAGATGCATCTACATTTGGAGAGGTGCAACGGAGGTAGCTGTGTTTGACGCGCACACACACACAACCTGCACACAAAGTAACGAAAACAAGTTGTTCCATCAGCCCGGCCGAACACCAGCCGAGATGCCAAGTCATCGGCAAACTTCCCAGGAGGGCAGGTGTCAACACAGGTGCCATCGTCCAAAAGCGCGCCGCCTTGGTGTTGCGGAAATTGCGCCATCTACTTTCACCCGGGCCATTTGGTAAGTGAGCCGCCTCCTTTGGTTGCTTTGAAGGACAAAACAGAGAGAAACCGGCTTCTTTGGGGTGTCAGGGAGAAATATGTCAGAAAGGGAAATGTTTCAGCACCTCGCGTGACAAAACTTTGCGCATTCAGCTGGAAAGCGTATGGACACCAAGCTTGCGGAATGCACTGAGGGTTCTCGGCTTCGCCGTGCCCCCCAACAACTAGTCTGGAGAAGATGAACAATCCAAACTGCGAAACAAGTACAATATTCCTCAATTTGCAGTGTGTCCAAGTTCCAACACGTCCCACAAGCTGCTATGGTTAAACCCGTAATCCGCTACCAACAAAGGTAGCTGCCAGTAAAATGCCATGACTGGAAGTACGCCGACCCCAGCAATATGAGGTCTCAAAATGGCTGAACCCCTCCCCCCACCCACAAAAAAAGAAGAAGTGAGGAAGACACGGATTGCTTTTGGAATCAATGAAAAGCGACTCCAGAAGGCTTGAGGGAAATCTAGTGAGTCCAAATAGACTTTTGACATCTTTTGACCTACATCGGATATTTTTGACGGAACCTCTAATTTGTGAAGGATTCCGAGCTGCTGTGGCAAGTGAGGCACTGACCTCAGAGCACCGACAAGCAGGCAGTCACATCCAGCTCTCCTGATGTCACCGTGGAATATGGGGATGGCTTCGGCATGGCCTGTAACAGTGCAATCATACTTGACTTGCTCATCGTCATCGCCCCTCATTCTCAATGATGCTGAGTGCCGCGCTGGCGGATCCTGGGACCGGTGGGAGCCGCGTTTGCTGTTCCAAAGGCATGTTCCTGCGATTAGAAAGGGAGACCCTTTTATATGCCAGAGTTGTCCGACCAGGTTGCAAGTTAACGTGCTCGGGAATGAACCATTGCCACTGGGGACCCACGCCTAATCCAAGGCTAAGGCATTCATTGGGTTGTGGAAAATGACGCTTAGTGTTGCCCACAAAGTATTCCACAGAAATCGCTGACCGTTTTCGGGGGGCGAGGGGGGCACGACCCGACCAATGCTAGCATACTCCGGATCTGTGTGAGCGCATTTCCTGGTGGCCAATTTGTGGGTTCTCGAGTCTAAGGGTCCGCAGGGAGATGCTTTGACCCCTTGACACCCGTACATCCTAGCAAGGTACTTGGGGCCTTTGAGGTAATAGAGCACCAAGGTCAAATACGTGCCCCCTTTTTTCCAACCCCGGACCTCTATTTTGTGATCACCGGTTTTAACTTATGGTGTGCGAACCCAAAACACAGAGGTTGGGGGTCATAGGAAACAAACAATGTCCCCTTGCTACAAACTTTGGGAGATGCCTGTTGGTTTCCTTTTCGTTTCAAAAGGTGTCCCCTTTGTGGGGCACAGCCGAGGCTCCCTCGCAAGTAGCGCAAGAGGCCAAGCAGTTCTTGCAAGTGCGGGTCACGTCTGCGAACTTCCCCGGAGGGCCTTGGACGCCAGCGATTCGTGGCTCACGGGGCCTGGTTTCTAAACGAGCTGGAAGCTGACCAGGGAGAGACGCAAGCTGACCTTTTCTCGAAACAGAACATAATTAGCCGACTGATGTTTGTACCGATTCCGTACAGCCTTTTGTGTTCTGTTTGAAACAAAACAGTCCTAACGAGGCTGATCTTGGTGCCTGTGTCCATCAATGAGTTACAGCGCTGGCAGGATAGTCGACAACCATAGATGACGGCTCGGCAACGCAGGTTGCAACTAAGTAGCAAGAATCAGAGGTAGCAACAAGAGGTAGGGCAATCTGGGAGTCAAAGAAAGATCCCAAATGTGAGGGGCAACATCTAATCTCATTTAGCGCATCCTTTGATAAACACAACTCCGGACTGGCCGTGGCAGGCGGACTCTGTCCACCAAGCACTGCTTGTACTGTTGCTACGAACTGTCACAACATTGGGTTCATCTGTTCTTCTCTGCAACCAAGCCTATCCCTTTTCTTTTTGCGTCGTTGCTTGAAGGACCATGATAAGCACATATGTATATACAAAAATGTGGACAGATAACTCCTGAGGTGCCTCAAATAGGCTTCGTCTCGACGCAATTTCACCTTCTATTTGTTTCTCTTTTGGCTTCCATTTGGTCCGGTGCAAGTTGGCAAAAGGCAGTCAAACACTTCGTGCAAAATGGAGGGATCCCTGATCCGCAATCCGTGAGGTGCATCACTACGACAAGGGAAACTACTCTCATCTGGAACAACCCAGTCAATTAAACCTCAACAAGGCCCCACTTATTTTGGGATTCCCGTCTTTGGGGCTCCGTTTCGATGATGCCTTCTCCCCCTGGCAGAATTTCAGAAAGTCAAAGAACCCACTTGCCACCTGGGCAACCACCTGCTTCACAAAAAAAAAGAGAAATCCTCTAAATATCAGCTTGGGGAAGCGACGATTTTACTGGCCCAGATGCGTCCTGTGAGGCAGGTGCGCCTGAAGTGTCCGCAGCCCTCTGAGCCGCTGGCACTCGATCTTGCAAGTGGAGCCGTCGAGCTTCTCGCCCTCGAGGCAGCTGGTGCAGTTACCTAGGCGCAACCAGCGAAGCCTTCGGCCAAAAAAGAAAAAAAAACCAGGGAAGGGAACAAGGGGAGCCAAAAAGGAAAAATGAGGTTGACTTGAGGGAAACCCAACAAAAAGGGCAACCGAAACTGAGTCTATCTTTTGCGGGGCAAAGTTTGTGTTTGTATTGTCAAGTGAGCAATGGTTCATATATTACATAATATATATACATATATATATATATATTAATCTATTTATTGTGCTATCATCTGTAGCTAAGGGGATCACAGCAGCTACACTCACCAAACCGAAACTAGGAAACGCGGATACTCACCTGCAAAATGACATGGGTTCTGTGCAGTCTGCAGGGAGGAACGCCTGGTAAAAGAAGAGCACCTTTCTTGGAGTTGACCATTGAAGATGGAAAGCCACCCAAACAACTCATTTTAGGGGTGGGGGCCTTGAGGAAACCTCATCTCGCCCTGGGTCCTAGAGCCATGCAATAACAGCCCTGTTGTTGATGTTTGCCTTCTGACGTACAAGAAAGCAAACTCATTTGCGTGTCAAACACAGCAATCCCCTAGCTGACGCCACATGGCCTGCTAACTGGCAAGCTCTCTGCCTCTGCAACACGTCAGCAGGCTATTTACAGTACAATCAGTGTTTTTGTTCCCCTGCATCAAACAGGGAAGAAGACCGAATTCTCGACAGCCCTCGAAGAAAACACAGGCAGGTGGAGGAAACATGTGTTGTCTTGGACGGTTCTACTGTCTGACTTCTGCCACTGAGCCGCACTTGATGTTTACTGGCGGCTGGCTATCAGGACAGCCAAAGGCGCAAAACTCCAGCCTCCTTCCGCCCCAAATCATTAAAAGAACGCATCTATATATGGGTGAGTTGCATTAAATGATTTCACCAACATAAAGGGAACCTTTTCTCCAGGCAACTAATCGGTCCGTGAGCCCGCTATATTTTGCCCAAACATATAAGCCAAGCCACGGTCATTGACATGGGACTTTGGTGACTCCCAAGGAACCCAACCAGCACAAATGTGATACTTTACCGCACTGACTCATTGCTGACTGCTTCTATGCGCGGTAGCCTGAGGTCTCGGAAGAGTTTCGGTACAGTACACGCAAAGCAATCTGCAAGGGGAGTGACTCGGTAACCCAGGTATGAATGGTGATCTGAAAACTTAAACAAGAAGCTGAAGTGTCGTAGGACGAGGGTGCTTGGTTGTCGTAAAGTCTAAATTATTTCGGAATACGGATAACCGTCTTACAAAGCTGTGAACGAGATCTGCCCAGGTCTACTACCATCAGTTCAACTTCCGGCACTTCTGCAAAACTCGACAAACTCTCGGGGCTAGTGCCTCAAGCTCTACGCCTTTGAGGCTATTGAGGGCGAAGAGCCCCCTTCGTGCAGCCCATATTTCAGGTTGGCGAAGTGGTTGTTCCCCTTTGCAGACCTGTGCTGCCCCTAATAACCAAAGTGCAACACACACCCATCTTGGGCCTTAGCCTCTTGCCACCCCGTACCCATCACAAGCAACCAGAGGCCAGCACCCAAAAGCGCAAACAACAGGCCCCAAACAAATGCGTCACCCTTCGGTGTCCTTTGGGAAAAAGTGGTGTCTCTGCTAAAATATTAGAACCAAGCGAGAACAGTACAGTCTATGTTCAAAGACGTAGGACGCGTGTGGCTCCACCTCCCCCATCTGTTGTCGGGTGTCTGGCTGTGCCGCTACAGGTGGCGCAGGATCCGTGGCACGCACGGCAAACCCGCAGGAAGTCTTGGTACTTCCCATGCGGGCACTGCGCCACACAGTGGGGCCCATCCTGAGCTGCGCCCGAAGAAGACGACTGAATCTACTTATCTGGGTGAGGTGTTTTGAATTCACCAGGGGTGAATCTTCACCTCCCTACGAGTGGTCGCGTGCTCAGGTGTTGCTTGTGACTGCTGCTCGTGAAATATACTTGTTGCACTTGAAAGCATGCACCATGACATCCTGGCATATCCTGGCATCAAGGAGCAACATGGCTGGGACACGGGCAACCCGTCCTCGACTTCCAATCCAAACCTGCTCAAGAAGCGGTATCATGACACGGGACTTCAACCTGAACACTTGCAGTCCCTTAAGCTTGGCCCGTGAACCGAGAGGCCGAGAGGACGCTTGGCTTGCAACTGCTGCCACACCTTTGAAAAAAGGGGCCAAGTACGATGTCACGCACGTCAACCCCACAATACTAGGGTATATCCCAAATGTCACCCCGCAAAACTGGCTGGCTTTCTTTTGGTGCCACTTTCAACAGCATGCTAAATGGTCCCGTCAAACAACATGTTTAGACATCCCAAATCATATACGAACGTAACCCAAAGCCCATTGCTCTTGCCAAGAGGCGAGAACCTGCGGCATGGGGCAGGAGGTGCAGTTGCCGGCCGAAGCTGCGCCTGAGATACAACATTTCCCAACTCGGGCTTGTCCGACCTACACAAACAAATTTGAGTTTGGACAAGAGTTCTGAAACTCTTAAAATACATTTTTTGTGCTGCACAAAATATCTGGCTGCTCGCTAATACTGCTGGTTGCTTCCTCTTGTAAAACTCTTGAAGCTGAGCATCCCATGAAACGTGTCACATGGGGAAGAGGTACAAATTCGATGTACACTCTTCAAGAGAACAGCCGCATTTGGGATTCATGAGTTCGGGTCAATCCAATACATATTATGTTTCTTGCAGCTTTTGGCAATTTGCATTGACAGGGCTGGGCCTGCAATTGATACATCTGACACTCACTCTGAGCTGCAAGACCAGGTCTTGTAGATGGTCTAAAATCAATCAACGCACGTGCTGCCCGTGCTCCCATCCTGAAAAGGTTACATACCGCTGTGCTCTATGCCTCATCCAGGAGTTCTGCTTGACCGCTTGGCAGCTTGGCAAAATCACAGGCAAGTGCAATGTCCATTGACAAGGGGTCTGCCGGAGACAGTCATGCTGAAACTTATTGGCTCTTCAACATGACAAACACATGCCGGAGTGTTGTGGATGTCTCGCAAGCTCTGAGCTGGTTGTTGCTTGCCAAGTTACACGTTTGGCAGGAGTCCTCGCACTTCTCGCACACGCCCTGCCACTGTGACATTGGGTAGCCAATCGAAAAAGGGTTCGTGTCACAACTACAAGCAGAACCTCTAAAGGGCAACAAGAACTGCAATTGAAGGGTTTTCATCGTACTTGAATGCCTGGTTTCACGGTGGGACTGCCTGTGTTATCTCTGCATGAACCTCCTGTACATCTGATATCAAGCTGTTGCCCCAACCTTCACACGAAGGCAACTTTCATTTGCTGTTTGGTCACACTGCTATATACTGGTTGACCAAAGCACATCTGTGTGTGTATGTGTCAAGATGCGGGATCCTAAAAAAGAGTTTTCATGTTGGCTTCCGTTCTGCCGTTCCCCCATCGAAAAGGGTACCCTCAAAAGCACACACCCACACGCTTCTCACCCCAAGTCATTGATCTGATCCAACGGGATGTGGACGGTGGAGCTTGGAACCTCTGGCCTTTTGCATATCTTGCGAATTGTTGACTTGCAGCTATCTAAACCCAAAGAACCCTCAACACGTTGGATTCCTGTATTTGTTGAATTAAACAATGGGGCCCTCCGCAAATTCCGCATAGCTCATGTGTGGTTTTCGGTTTCAGGTTCGGATGCCAAACGCCTTCGTGGCGAACTTGCCCCGGGAGCACTTCTCCACACACCGGCCAGCGTCAACCAGCATGCTCCGATTGCAGCCTCCGGCTTCGATGTGTTTGTCACATCGGCTCTTTAGGCGTACTTGAAGGATCATGGTTCCAATATCGTTGTCAACATGGTCGTCAACATGCATTATGTTTAACCCTGAGGGCATCAAAGCATATCACTCGGCAAAAAACAACATTTTGGATGCAGAGAATTTGGTTGAATTGAACTACCTTGGAGCTGCCCCTCTGTGCGTGTGCGTGTGTGTGTGTGCGCGTGTGTGCGTGCGTGTGTGTGTGTGTGTCTGCGTGTGTGTGTGTGTGTGTGTGTGTGTGTGTGTGTGTGTGTGTGTGTGTGTGTGTGTGTGTGTGTGTGTGTGTGTGTGTGTGTGTGTGTGTGTGTGTGTGTGTGTGTGTGTGTGTGTGTGTGTGTGTGTGTGCGTGTCTGTGCGTGTGTGTGTGTGTGTGTGTGCCCGCGTGGGTGCGTGCGTGCGCACGTGTGCGCGTGTGCGCGTGTGCGCGTGCGCGCGTGTGCGCGTGTGCGCGTGGGTGCGTGGGTGCGTGGGTGCGTGGGTGCGTGGGTGGGTGGGTGGGTGCGTGCGTGCGTGCGTGCGTGGGTGGGTGGGTGGGTGGGTGTGTGTGTGTGCGTGTGTGTCTGTGTGTGTGCGTGCGTGCGTGCGTGGGTGGGTGGGTGGGTGGGTCGGTGGGTGGGTGAGTGAGTGGGTGGGTGGGTGTGTGGGTGTGCGCGGATGTGTGTGCACGTGACATAAACTCCAAGTGTATATGTATATATATATATACATATATAATAAATATCACCCTTCAACCCGCGTGAAACAGAACCACAGGAACAATACAACACATGCGTTACTCAAGCAAGTTCAAATAATAAAAAACATGCTGGTTCATACATGGGTTGAACAACAACACGACACGACATCTATCTTGGTTATATTATTGAAGAATCCAAGCCTTCTGGCAACGGATATCTGATATTGTTCTTCTTCCCGCCTCCCATCAAAATTGCCTCAGCCCAAGTCGGGCGGGCCTTGCTAAAGGATTCCAGCACACCAAAAGGTGGTGGGGCGGTGGAACCTTTGAGCGGCCTCAATTATTTTTCTCCAAGGCACTTGTGCAATGCGTAGCGTTGCCTTGGATGCTTCACTCAGCGCTGCATGACTTGCACACCGCAATTGAAGAACAAAGGTTGCTTGGACACCCCTGCCCACTGACCAGGGGTCGTTGCAGTTGACCCCTGCGTGTCAGCCTGGGATTTCTGGCCACTGATGTCTCTCTCTCTCTCTCTCTCTCTCTCTCTCCCACTTGCAGTAGTGATACCCTCGCAGGTCGCGCAGGTGCGGTGGCACACTTCACAGACCTGCAGGTCGCCAACGAGCTAATCGCAAACACAATTTGCCCGTTGTGTTTGTGAGGGTACCCTCTTGTGGTTAGGTTTGATTGGAAAACTATTGTGGGGTCCCCCTATTTTGAAGCACACCTATGTCAATGCTTGACCAATCCCAGGCTCCTCTAACATGTCCCATCCTTATTGCAAAGCCATCCATATTCTGTTCGCGCAAATCATTGTTCACACTTCTGCGGATAGCATTCACCCCCCCCCCCGGTGCCACAAAGAGGAAAGTGCTTGCCCCAGAGACATAACCCCTTTACAACATCGTTCCTTTGATTGCAGTAGATGACCCTGGATGTTGCGAGTTGCTCAATCCAAGCAAACCGCCCTCTCGATGCCTGGTCCGGGCGGGGGAACTTGCCCAGGGGACAGGTCTGCTTGCATGCCCCGTCATCCAGGACCAAGTCTCCAGAGCATCCCGTACACGTGGTGGCCTACGGCGCGGAGTCAGGATCAGGCAGGCAACTACGTGAAACCAACATGAATGACCACCTCCCAATTGCCCCCCTGGTCTTTTGCGGATGGTTGGAGCTTCGTTGGAGCTTCGACTCCCCAAGCCACCGAAAGGCTCAAAGGTGAATGAAAGGACCACTGGCTGAGGCATTGCCAGCCCATTCGTGAGTGGCTCGCAGAAGCAGCACATAGCAGCACAGCTCTGCAAGGTCAAGGTCAAACAATGTCACACCCACACGCCCCCGTTGCCCAGTGGGCTGGTAAAAAAAGCTAGACCCTTTTTCGATTTGACATGCGTTTAGTGGGGAACTCATCAGACAAAAGGTTGAAGGGCGCTGCTCGATTCAACCCATGGCAGGACGTGGAGTGTTAACTGCGTCAATGCTGTGGCCATGCGCGCGTTTGTGCCAAGCCACAGAGTCAGCACAGGTCAGACAGGCTGGATCACCTTGCACGCGGAAAGAAAAGGACAAAAACTCCCGTCTGAACGGCAAGACTCAGTGGAGTTAAAACACAAAGGGGTTGCTCGCTTTTGATGCCTTCTTCCACAGCAAACTACCGAACAATCTGTTCGTTTCTTGCTTGCATCTGTGGGACAGAAAGCTTCATCCAACTTGGTTTGTCTGCCATGGGAGATGCGAGGGAGCCATGCCCTGCTTGGGTGGAGCGGTTGCCCGCCGACCAAAACTAAGCGAGGATTCAAAGGTCACCAGTCCAAGCAACCAACATATAACATGTTACTGTATTCCTTGACCATGTCTATGGAGCACGTTCGCGATCAATAGATGAACCCCGCTCAAACGTTGCCCTCAGGTTCATGCCAGCTTCTTCGAAATAAGATTCAAGGGTTGAGAAACAAGAACATCTGTGAAAGGAACCAATTCACTTAGACAAACACCTAACTTTCTTGACATTGTCGTGCAAGCCAACCCTCCACACCTGGTAAGCGATGACTTGCGAGGTCCGGCCTACAATCGAAACACAATATTGGATGCTAGGATACTAGTAGTCTGGAAACCGGCGGTCTTGGAACACTGCTCGGGTTGCAGGAAGGTCAGTTTGTCCTATCTATTGCACCTTCTTTGGGTCGTAGGCGAACAGGTCCATCCACTGGGCTATTTATTGAGATTGGCTAAAAGGCTTGTTCCAACAAGGAACTTGAAAGCTTGTCCTTGGGGCCACTTCTCTCTTGCACCCTTTGCTGTGCTGTTTCAGTTTTTGTTGCAAGGATGTGTGGCACCTTTCTGGCTCTCTGAAAGCAGGCATAAAGCTGCTGGTGTCCTTATCTTTCCCTACGCATCCACCAAGAGACAACTCCGTTTGAGCTGCTCCGGAGGGGCGCTGTCTAAAACATGAAAAAAGGGAAGCAATGCCGGAGCCCGACTCCTTTTTGACAAGTCCGATCTCAGTTTGGCCCCGCAGTGACACCTCCAAAATACCCTGCGAGTTCTTGACTCTCGGCTGGGATTGATCCAACCCATGGTGTTGCACACCGAAACGGGGCCAAGTTCCCTTACGATATCACGTCCCATCCGAGGCACAGGGCCGGCAGGTGGCGGTTCTGTCCGCAAAGCGGCCGTCCGGGCACTTGATGCGGCACACATCCAGGTCGAGCACTTGCCCCGGAGAGCAGCTGGTGCACTTGGAAGGCTCCCCTCGGCTTCCGCAAAACGCGGCAGTGGCCAGGATCCGAACCCAAAGTTCGGGTTACAATGTAAGTGGCAAATGACTTGAAGCATTCCGTTATAATTCTGGCCGGTTTTGGTGTCCAAGTAGCCCATGACCCCGTGACAGTTTGTCTGAGCCCTTGCAGTACCTAGTTCGTTCAGGAGTCCTTTCCAGAAAACACTGCCACAGGAAACAGCTGGTGCTGGAACGGAATACTGGTTGACGGAATGGGGAAACAAGCCATTCTACTCACTTGTTGAAAGGAATTGAAAGCAAAATGTTTGAGGGCAAAAGGCCAGCCCCTGGCAAGTGGCAGGTTCACGGGAAATGACCCAGCTGGCTTTGCCACCATCGATATCGTCATCACCACCCACCACCATCACTGCCACCACCACCACGACCACGACCACCACCACCACCACCACCACCAACCACCACCACCACCACCACCACCGCCATCACCGCCATCACCGCCATCACCATCACCATCATCACCATCATTGCCATCAGCACCATCACCATCATCATCCGCAGAATCATCATCAACATCAACATCATCATTACCAGAACCAGAACCATAACCATAATCATCGTCATCCTCATCCTCATCCTCATCCTCCTCCTCCTCCTCATCATCACCATCATCATCAACAGCATCACCATACTCACCATCATCATCTCACCATCACCGCCACCACCATCTTCGCCATCATCATCATTGTCACCATCATCATTTTTATTATCGCCATTACCATCACCACCGGCATCATCAACATCATCATTACCATACTCACCATCACCATCACCACCACCATCGTCACCATCATCACCACCACCACCACCACCACCACCACCACCACCACCACCACCACCACCACCACCACCACCCCCACCACCCCCACCACCATCATCACCATCATCAGCAGAGCCATCACCATTACCATCATCATCGTCATCATCATCATCATCGTCATCGTGATTATCATCATCAACATTGTCATCCTTATTATGATCCTCATCATCGTTGTCGTCATCTTCACATCATCATGATCATCATGATCATCATCATCATCATCATCATCATCATCATCATCATCATCATCATCATCATCAGCGTCATCATCATCATCATCATCATCGTCGTCGTCATCATCATCATCATCATCATCATCATCATCATGAGTATCATGATCATCATGATCATCATCATCATCATCATCATCATCATCATCATCATCATCATCATCGTCATCATCATCATCATCATCATCATCATCATCACATTTGACTTTTCATTTCTGTGCTACTGTGATACCACTAGAAGGCCTTGAACGCCTTCACAAATGCACTTGAAGGTCCCTGGTATCACTATGTTGTCAAGCAGAACTCTCCGAATAGCTAGTTTAGCAAAAGAAATCAGCTGACAAACAATTGAAGGGATGCTCCAGCTTTGTAAAATGCTTGCAGTTGGGGACTCCTCAGATGGCAAAAACTGATAAGTCCAGCGCTCCAAGAAGGGGCCCCATGATGGAACCGAGATGCAAGCAACCGGTTGCAGGTTTTGTTTGGACACAATCCCGTCCCATGGCCGACTGCCCGTGTGCTCTGTCACAGTCTGTCAACCCCAGATTGCTCTTCCTTCGTCATTGGTGGATGTGTTGCGCCAAACGCCGGGCCGCATGAATTCGGCAAGAACTGAAACAAACGAAAAAAAGGCAACAAACAAACGCTTGCAACTGAACAGAGTGGAGGCGCAACAGCTAGGCTAACCTGAAGGGTGGGGTACCTTGACTCCGCTGCGCATTGTCAGTTGCCTCCCCTTGGATAATCGATGCCACTGGTAAATGATTAGAACCAGCGTGCCTTCCACTCCTTGAACAACTGGGCTTAAAATCACAGCCCACGCCACACGTTATTGGAGCTAGTCAAGCCTCCCCGTGCGAAATGCACCCGTGCTCAAGTCCAGGATAGATCACGTTCAAGCAAAGCAGGAATTTGCTCCACGGTAATTTAAGGCACACCCAAATACTAGTAACATGTTTGAAGGGGAATACAAACGCAACCAACCCATTTTTGCGGCTCCTTTACCAACACAAAACAAACAAAAAAACCTGGCTCGTAATGTTAAATCGTTTTGCCAGGCGTCCCTGGCAGTTGCCGCAACTGGGATCACAGCCTCGGCCGGCGCCAGAAGGGGTTGGAGCGACACATTGACATGACCCCAGGACAAGATTACTTGTCTACCCTTGGGTGGGCCCATTTCTGAAAAAAATAGGAGATTCTTTTCATCCCGGTTCTCGATTCACCTTTACGCTTGAGCATGAATCTGAAGCAAGCTGGACTGGTCCAGGGCACTCCAAAAACCGCCGTGCATTGGACACCCTTCCTTTGACCTTCCACATACTTCAGCCCGCAATCCGAGTTACTCGCTGCATGCACCCATGTTTCCTCGGAGGGTATCACTTGGGGTTGGGCATTCAGCCTTTTTCAACCTGAATCAGCCGTCATCACGGCAAGATCCAAGCGAGAGAGGGCCAGAACGCAACTTCCTTGTAGTCTGTCCTTCCTGCCCACGACTTGCCCAATCGTACTTGCGGGGGATGTGTGTTTTTCTGGCCGAGCAGGTGTCGGGTTGCATCAAAGTTGAGGGGCCGTCAAACTGGTTGGCTTCCTTTTGGCGTGCAATTCCAAACAGCAAGCAGCATGGACAACTGGCAAAACACTGATCATCCATCTACTCTTAGCTGCGGTAGGTCCATGTTGCTACTTCGTATGACCCACACTTGGCAAACCCAAATGTACCACAGGCTGTACTGCGACACAAGAATCCGAATCATGCCCTATCCCATCGGGAGCATATTTGGGAGAAATGCAGCCTCCATCAGTTGCCCATAGAATTGGGTGTCGCTTTTTCAGGGTATCCTTACGGCTTCGTTTCAAAGGCAACCCAAGCACGGGAAGCCATCTACTGGGCTTCCATTTGAAACATAAATTGCCAAGAATCTTTGGCAAATGCCCGCTGCATCATCATACTTGCGGCTGGAGCATTGCCTTCGGCACACCTAGGATGGAAAGCCATGGGGAGCCACAGCTTCCGAGAGATGGAACCTCGAGACGAGCCTCGCGATGCTTTGCAACACATCGGGCATCCCCTTCATGACGGTCGCAAACCCTCTTTGTGAGGTCGCTACGATTTGCCGAGATCAAATATGTTTGGATTGAAGAAAGGCAACAGGACACCATTTAATGAGATTGGGAAGGCAAAGGAGGGTCACAATCTCAAATGCAGAAGACAATCAAGCCCCGCTTCCGGCGGCCTGGGAAAAATGATGGTCGTGAAAAGTCATCCATTCTGGGATGCCACGGTGGCTCAACCTTCACTCTGTGAGAATCTGTGCAGTTAGGTGGCTGAGTCGTCCAGCACTCGGTTTGCCTGTCAAAACTGGCAACATGCTCAGTGAGGCGTGAGCACTTCGAGGAGGGCAGGCCAAAGCAACACAGACTGGGTTGTTACCCAAGTTGCGGGTGGCCAATCCCCAATCCTAATCCGTAATCCGTAGTGGAACAGTTCCACGACGGATTACGGATGAGGATTGGGGATTGGCCACCCGCAACTTGGGTACACACCAATAGAATAAGGGGAGCCACTAGAAGCCGGAGCAAGGATTAATGATTGTTTTCGCACAACCCAAACACACCCTGGAACTTATTAAATCACGCAAGCTCACAAAAACGGCCGTGATACTTTGTGTTGATTCGGACTTCAGAGGTCAGGTTCGATCGACGGGAAACGGGTGCCATATATCAACTATCCAACATCTCAAGTGTACCATTTGTTTCGCTGTCAGCTCTCTCGACATTGAGATAGGCATTTATTTGTCAAGCAAGCAAATCCTGCGCTGCTATCTGCCATACAGTGCTTCTGTTCATGCTGACACTATGAAGTGCAACTACGACTCCAACGGGGACATTGCGCCATATCATCAAGAGCATCAATCAAGGCCACTTATATAAGTCCAAGCAATGCTCATCGCACCTCTTAGAGCGACAAGGTCCCCAACATCGTTTGGTCTCAAAACAGCGACTGTAGCCAATGATAGCAATGTAAGCACCCCCGTCGAGCGATTCACAGGTTCGCGCACCAAGCCAATCAAAAGCAAGATGACCCCCTCGACAAAAAACACAGAACATGAACATGAAAAATGCCTGGGGTGCCTGATGGCTTCTCACTCAAGGGCACCGCCTTCCAGTAAAGGCGCTTAAGCGTTTGGGGTCTAGGAACCAAGCCTCATGCCGGCGACCCCGCATTTTCTTGTCCTTGCAAAGGCGTGGAGACCCCACCTGTGTTGACTCCCTGATTGTCCGTGCATGCCTCGAACGCATACATGATAGCGCCTTCCACAGGAACACTCCCGACATCTGGATAAAAGAAGGGAGGTTCTTGTCGAAAGCATTCTGGTGTCTGATTCCTGGACTGCGATTCACTGCCCGGGCTCAGGTACACCGCAAGGCGACAGGCATTGAGAACCTGGTCGCTCATTTGTTCACTCTTCTTTAACTAAACGGTCGCGAACCGTACTCCCCTACGGCCAGCCCAGTTGCCAACACAGAAACGAGGCTGGTCGAATGGAAGTATGGTCAGCAAGCAGCAGTGGCATTGCAACTTCTTTGCCAGGTCCTTTGTTGGAGGGCCAATGCTTGGCCAACACCTCGCGGTTGTGAAGTCAAATGCCAACTAAGGGAGATCAGCCACCTCCACCTAGAGGAACGAATAGGAAAGAACCCGTAGACCACCTGCACGCTTCGCGCCGTGGCTGCCGTCTTGCCCAACCGCTGGCTGCGCACACCAGAGACCGGATGGTTCCGGAGCCGCCATTCTTTTTGAAGGCCCACATACGCGGCTGAAAAAGTACATCTCCATGCATCCCAAAGTTCAGCCCAGGTCTACCTGCAAGCCTCTGGCGTAGATCCTGGCCACCTCAGCTGCCTCCAGGGGCGCATACTCCCCAGGCTGCAAGCAGCTGGGATCTGCCGCCATCGTCGCCGGTCGCGCTTCCACCTTGAGATGTCCAGCAAGGAAACTCCTTTACTCCTTTTGGCGGGGGAATTCACCAGCCAAGCAAGCAAGCAAGCAAGCAAGCAAGCAAGCAAGCAAGCAAGCAAGCAAGCAAGCAAGCAAGCAAGCAAGCAAGCACCCAATTGCAGAAAAGACAATGTTCAACATGCAAGACACCGTCCAAAGAGTCCAACCGGACCAACACAGCATAAACGTCGTCGTCATTTGGGGCCAGACAACCTGAACAAACCATCGCCTGCGGGAACACGTACCATCCAACAAGTTCAAAGCAAGGAAGCCAACTGAGCCATGGTAAAACTTTGGTTCATGGTTCCCTTAGCGGAAACTCTTACACGAATTCTCAAGGAATCCATGACATTTCTAGGAACCCCAAGTAAGTATTTGTGATCCGCTATCGATTGGGTGGTGACTTCCAAGCAAGCGATTGGCCCACTTTGCATACGTGAATACCTAATGCTTGAACTTTCACACGCTTTGCAAAGCATCAGCACAACTCCGTTCACCAGCGAGTAAACATCGGCCACGCAAACAATGCTACCTCTTTGGCCCCTCCTTGACCAACATAACAAACAACAAAATACAAACAACGGACGTTATACACACACGGAAAAAAGTCGCCGCTTTGACGCATCACCGGGTTCTACCTGCCCCAAACATGTGTTGATTGAACCGCTTCCTGACTTCCCAACTTCCTATCTCCGAATCTTGGAGTTACGACCGCCTTCGGGACGGGCAAGGAAACCAACAGAATCCGGTGGCAAAACAAGGCCAACTCCTAACACTTGTTCAATTTCAGGAGCCACAAGGCCAGAACCTGTCAGTCGAAACCGCCTTGAGGGCGCCCTTGTTGGCCTCCTTGGCTGCCTCCTGCATTGATCTGGGCCTCAGAACGGCGCCGCCCACGCCGCAGGTAGACGTGCGGACCAGCTGGAGGCAACTGTAGCCCACCTGAGCACTCCAAGAGGACGTGTTCCATGCCCCAAACCAGCACCAAGGAACACTGTAAACACACAAATGTATATATATATATGTATATATATATATATTTGGCATGCCATATAACATATATATATATATATATGTATATGTCATACACTTACTTATATATGATAGTATTATAGCAACGTTATACAGCTTTTGCAACATGTGTATTCAACATTGTTGTTTAGGTGTTGCTTACACCCTAGCATAACACCCACTGAGGGTGTTCCGACGAAGATCCAAGAATCGTACCAGGCGCCGCATGCAAGACATAAGGACCCTCATTTACGGTTTCACGGAACAACCAACAAGAGGTCACTTTGCCCAAACCGCCACAACCCAAGGCAAACAGCGACACATACACTTACCACCCAGTGCAAAGAATTGACGCAAGGCTGTGCAAGGCTGGTAGTGGTTGGGGGCCCCAATAGGGGGCAACCTTGAAGCGTGGGAGCTCGCTCACTTGAGGTCCATGGGGTCCATTGGAACTAGCCGAGAAGCGACGAAATGGAAGGGGAACCTGAGGTTTAGAATCCTTGGGCACTGGCGATCGGTGTTCGTTTGGAAAGCTAAATGGCACTTGTAAATGGTGGGAACGAACACATCTATCAAGCAAACTGCAACCAGAAACAGACACACACACACACACACCTGCACCAGCTGGGAAGAATCCTGACATCCACCTACAATCTGGAGCATCTTGTCCATACACAGTCCAAGCCGCCGCCCGTAGCATGCGCCGCACCATCCGGAACCGGCCCGCGGTAACAGTGAGCCGTAGCCGCGCGAAGCGGCCATCGAAGTCGATGACCTCCGGGGCCAACTTCTGGCGACATGTTTGAGTGGCTAGGGATGACTCAATGGGCCAATCTCTGAGGGAACCCCCTTTTGGGTTGGTTTCAAAGTGAAAATGGCCTTGTGGACATCCTTGATTATTGGAGACGACCCCCACTACTCCCCTCAAGGAGCGCATGATGGCTGTTTGAGGTCCATGACAATCTGGGGAGTATTGCTTGAACAAACCCTTTGCGGTTTCCCTTTCGGCATGGTTGTGGCAAGTCTCCCTTGCTGTGATACCAAGATCGGGCATTTCCATGACTACTTTATCACTTTTGAAGGGGATTCCCTTCTCACAGAAAGTGGCAATCTAAAGCCAAGTCTCGACAACCATGGAGGGCATGATGGTTTGACCACATTTCTGCGCAGCCCCGACCTCTGCCGACTTCGCGCACACCACGTGGCCGTCCGAGAGGCAGACCCCGGAGAGCAGCTGGCGCAGACAGTCCTCGGGCGACCGCTGAACTTGGCGCCCCACAAGGGCTCACCAAAAAGGAGCTTCCTCTAATGCGGGTTTTGAGGAAACCCATATTAATCTGAAGGGCAGCAAACATTACTAAGAGGCGACTCCTCTGATCATGACTCAAATCAAAGTACCCCACAACCATATGTCAATTTGCTTCGGCCGCTATGGTAATGGTACCCCATTGCAACTCACAGTGCTAGGGCTGAGCAGTTCGCGTTCTATACCAAGAGGAAATCTTCGTGGAGGGACAATCCTTCCTCCAAGAAGGTGGTCTAAGAAGAACCAACCAGCTGTTTACAAGGGCACCAAAAAGGAAAACAAAACACAAATGTTGGGGCCGCATTCCAGGAAAAGCCCATGTCCTGGGTGAGGCTGCTCGACTAATTCGCATAGCGATAAAACATGCAGCAGTTGTACTGCTTGGAGGTGCCCCATTGCTTTTGACAGATTCCCACAGACGAAGCCAACTTGGTGAACACCTGACTAGAGATTGCGCACTGAGGCACTGACACACACGATCTTGAAAAAGATGCCACCCATCATCCATAATTCGGGGGAAAGAACTTCCAGATCGAAGATGAGACACGAAAAAAGTCTATTAAATCAGCGGCCGCCTTGGAAAGGTATCAAATCCTAACGTCAAGACAAAAAGGCGGCCGCACCCATTTGAGCAGAGTTTTTTGGGGAAGGAAATGCTGATGACGTATCAGACGCCTACCGCCGGGCCTACGCCATGTGCAAATACCATGCGGAATGGCCTACGCGAGGTGTATGTCAGGCTTAAAACGCATACGCGGGCCTACGAGGTTGGAGTTTTGCTCTCCAAGTGCCCACGCGGTGTGCGATTCGTGCTAAAACTGGCACGTGCGTACCTACGGGCAACCTGTCAAGTCGAGCCTACGCGGTGCCTATGCGAGGAGCTCCCCAGCCGACTGTGCAAAAGTGGCTACCAGCGCCTACGCGCGTGCAGAAATAAGCCTACGCGGGGCCTGATATGTCCGCTCTCCTTTTGCCCCCTTACTGCTGTTGAAAACTCCGCTCATTTATGGATTGAACTGTCCCTACTCTCCAAATACCCGGGTTGTGATTCTGGCTCAGAATGTTTTGTTTCATGGGCAAGGCTCGGAGGAAGGCGGCTTGCGATCCTTGGCGCAGTTGGTCAACGCAATGTACTCCTTCTCGAAGCGCTTTCCCGGTGAGGTCACAAAGTGCGAGAAGTGGCCGTCCGTAGTGAGCAGCAACAGACCCTCGCTTTCTCCATCCAACCGGCCGGCATTGTGCAATGTTGAAGGCGCGCCGGGCGGGAAGAACTCTGCGGTGCAGGGCTTCCGGCTGTAGCGTTCCTGTTTATGAGAGGAGATCACTCCACGCGGCTTGAAGAATTTCAGGTACCAGTCCTCGTTTGGAGGCCTCAGAAGATCAGTGGCACTGAGAAAAAGGGCACCTCTTTTGACTGTTTGATGTTAAGGAAAGAACAAACAAAAGGGCACCGCGCAACTGGGAGGCACTTCGGCTGCCTCTTCAGTGCCCTCTTGAATTGCCACCACTCTGCTCTTTTGGGCCACCAGCTTCACCGGATCCCGGACACAGACCCCATCCACGTAAACCGCCCCCCGGTGAATCAGTCGCTGCGCCGTGGGGAAGGTCCATCCACCCGCCAGCAGACGCCGAAGTAGCGGCGACGGGGCAAAGCAGAGCCAAGCTGGCCAGAGAAGCAGAAGACAGCCACGCATCTGGCTCCCCCTTCTGGGTCGCAAGGCCTTCTGCCTTTCAGCCAAAGGCCAAGCCAGACAAGCTGAGAGCCACAAACCGCAAATAAGAAATACCCGAGTCAGAAAGCCTTCGTCACTTGTGAGCTCGTTTCAACCCCCTAGGCGAGCTCAGAAAAACAAGACTTGATTGTTAAAACTGTTTGAAGCCACGCCTGTCGCCAAACAAGCCACCTTAATCCACTTCTGCGATTCCGCGCCGCTCAAGGAAGCAAGCTGTATGTGAGCGTGGTGCCTGAACGTTGCTGCCTGTTGTCGTCCAAACTTTCAGTAAATATCGCAATCTGACAGAACTATATGCAAACAGCGTTGGCCAAAGAGCGTGCCTTTCCCGCCTGCTGCTCATACGTTCTGAATTGGGACACTTTCCGTAACACGACGAGCAAGGTGTTGATTCCAGCCGCGAGTCATGACAGAAACCGCTTTCACCAAAAGCGCCCGACACGTGTACACACACACACACACACGCACAAACATGTATATATATGGTCACCCCCCCCCCAGGGCCTACCTTTCTACTTTTTGCATGAAAGAGATTTATTTGCAGATGTTCAGTGTCCGCTTGGTTTGCAGATGCCTTGCAGAAAGCACTGTAATTTACGGTGTTTTTGTGCATTGTTTGATATTGTCTCAGATGTGCTTTCTATACTTGATGCAAAACAGGATTCGAGAAAGCAACAAACACGAAAACGGAAAGCGTTTTCAGATGCAACTTTGTCAGTGTTGAAAACACTGTTATTTGCAGTGATTTTGAAGGAACCTGCAAAAAAGCACCTGTTTCTTACGTTTTTTGATGGTTTCAGCCTCAAAACCTGCACAGGCTGAAAAAATTGCAAAAAATCCAAACCTGGAAGCTCCAAAACCTGCACAGACTCAAAAAAATGCAAAAAATGCAAAACCCAGATACAATGTCAGAGGTCAGGGCTTGATTGGCCTGGACTTTTGCATTTGTTGCATTTTGTTTGAGCCTGTGCAGGTTTTGGAGCCTTGGATGTTTAAAACCTGCACAGGCTCAAAAAATGCAAAAAATGCAAATCCCAGATGCAATGTCAGAGGTCAGGGCTTGATTGGTCTGGACTTTTGCATTTTTTGAGCCTATGCAGCCTTGGATGTTTAAAACCTGCACAGGCTCAAAAAAATGCAAAAAATCCAAACCTGGAGGCTCCAAAACCTGCACAGGCTCAAAAAAATGCAAAAAATGCAAAACCCAGATGCAATGTCAGAGGTCAGGGCTTGAGTGGTCTGGACTTTTGCATTTTTTTGCATTTTTTGGAGCCTGTGCAGGTTTTGAGGCGTGCAGGCTTGGATTTTTTGCATTTTTTTGAGCCTGTGCAGGTTTTGGAGCCTTGGGTGCTTAAAACCTGCACAGGCTCAAAAAAATGCAAAAAATGCAAATCCCAGATGCAATGTCAGAGGTCAGGGCTTGATTGGTCTGGACTTTTGCATTTTTTGCATTTTTTGAGCCTATGCAGCCTTGGATGTTTAAAACCTGCACAGGCTCAAAAAAATGCAAAAAATCCAAACCTGGAAGCTCCAAAACCTGCACAGGCTCAAAAAAATGCAAAAAATGCAAAACCCAGATGCAATGTCAGAGGTCAGGGCTTGAGTGGTCTGGACTTTTGCATTTTTTGCATTTTTTGGAGCCTGTGCAGGTTTTGAGGCGTCCAGGTTTGGATTGTTTGCATTTTTTTGAGCCTGTGCAGGTTTTGGAGCCTTGGGTGCTTAAAACCTGCACAGGCTCAAAAAAATGCAAAAAATCCAAACCTGAAAGCTCCAAAACCTGCACAGGCTCAAGAAATGCAACAAATGCAAAACCCAGATGCAATGTCAGAGGTCAGGGCTTGATTGGTCTGGCTTTTTTCATTTTTTGCATTTTTTTGAATCCGTGCAGGTTTTGGGGCTTCCAGGTTTGGATTTTTTGCATTTTTTGAGCCTGTGCAGGTTTTGGAGCCTTGGGCGCTTAAAACCTGCACAGGCTTTAAAAAATCACAAAAAAAAACAAATCCTTTACTTGTTTCTGAAGAATGGAAGACAGATTGGATTGCTGAGCTTTTTCACAGAAGCATCGTGCTGCAAAACTTTCCAGAAGTTTCTATAAGCGTCTCGGGCCTACTGCTGCAAAGTCTGCAGCATATTGCCTGTGGCCTCCCACAGGTTGACACCCTTGTGCCAGTAAGCATTATCAGTTTTTCTAGACTGTGCAAGTGAAAAGGTAGGCCCTGGGGGGGGGGGGTGAGCATATATATATAAATATGTATATATAAATATGTATATATATATATATGTATGTATATTCATGCACAAGCACATAAAAAAAGGGCGGAGAGCGAACTGGCGCGTGGCCAAACCGGCGCGAACCTTTGCGCGCCTTGCAGCTAGTGCAGTTTGCAGCCGCCCCAGCACAGGTGCCGCAACGTCGACTGCAAGGCCGGCACACACCTCAGAAAAAAAAAAAAAAAAAAACTGCGGAAAATGCGTGGCTCCAGCAAGGTATGTCCTAGGGTGTGTATTTTTGGAAGGAGCCCTTCTTGGCGTGGTGCTAAAGAGGAAACCAAAAGAATGCGACTGATAACGGGGGTGCCCCCCCTTTTTTTTCACAACCTGCATTTGGCATGGCTGAACACGTGTAAGGGTCACCATTTAGAAGCTAATATACACATCTCACATAACCAACAGCTCGGACGTCGTGTTGTCCAAAAGTGGTGCATCGATTGGGGCATTGAGATGGCTTCATCGCCACGGTTCACCCGCGTGACTTGGCCAGCGTGATGCCCTTCGACTGGCGTCCGACTCAAGCTCGTGACATGCATCCCTTGTCTCAGTTCCGGAGTGGGTTGGCCAATAAAGTCCAAACTTGTTCTTTGCCACTGACACGGTTTGACATGCCAATCTCAGGGCAGTCTATGGGCGGTTCAAGAAGAAGCAAGTCCTCTGTCCTCACGCAGTACTGAGTGCCTGTCGAGCTTCACAAATCTGCTCCTCCTATCAGTCAACCTGGGTCCATATTGACCTCCTTAAAGTTAGCCTGAACAATGATGGTTTCAAGGAAACTCACCTCTCCCAGTGGCCTCAATCCCAACCCCTGGAAGAAGACTCGTCCGCTAAGCGGCGCTCTGGGTCAGCATACTTGCCATCAGGGCAGTCCGCCAGGCAGGAGAATTCATCCAGCACATGGCGCGGGTTGGCGCAGGTGAGGCAAGCCTAAGCTCGGTCGCTTGGGACCAGGTGCGCTTTTTTTTGGCAAACACATACTGTTATGGATACGTTACGGTCCTGGTATGTGTCAAAATGGGGGGGTCCTTTCGCTTTCCCTCTAAGCCAACCTGACAAGAGCGACAAAAGCCATATTATTCCATGGAATGCGCATCAAGATGAGCCAAAACAACCAATTTGGTCAAAACTCCACCTGAGGCTCCTGAGGGTCCTGCTATTCCCTTGATCGGTGCCCAAACTCGGTGATCAATGTTTGCTTCGGGGCGAATGACAATCAAGCCAAAGCACAAGCCACATGGCATGTAGGGACTGGCACCTCAAACGGCCAACTTTGTGATGCGCAATGCATGTTGCTAGCAAACATCAACCTGCCGAATGTCTGTTAATTTGCACAAAGATGACCAGTTTGCACATAGCCGAGCGGCGCTGGCTAATCCATCGCAGGTTTTGCATAAGGGATCGCAGTGTTTGCATCGGCCATCGGCTTTGTACCTCGAAGCTTGCAGCACTACCCGAAGAATGGACAGTGCCAATGAGTATTCAGGCCAATTCAGGCCAGTGCAGTGAGCTAAACCACGGAGGCACAAAGATATTGCATTACTTCATTAAGGCTATCCTGACACAAAAGGGCGGCCGGCGATGCGCGCGCGCACACACACACACACAGACACACACACGAGCCAAACCGGACGCAAAACAATGAAAACGTACACATGAGTCTAGCAAACGAATGCCGCAAACTGTCGCAAACAACACGTTTCGGGATGAGATGGGACTAGGATCCACGAAGTTCTCGCAGAGTGGCCGTTGTGCTTGAGTGGCACACGCTTTCTTTGTCTGATTAGGACAATCAATCCTGTGCTGTGCCTGCAGGCCTGGATGTAGCTGCATGTTCCGGGCTCACTGAGCTGCCACTTTCGGCGTACGGGTGCGGATTAGATGCTGGGTTCTGCTCAGGCTTTGGTGTCGGAGGCATTGGACTTGTTTGCTTTGAAGTGGTGCGTCACGCGCGGTGTGCGCGGCTGCGCTCTATGTGTGTGTGTGTGTGTGTCTGTGTGTGTGTGTCGTGTGTTTCTGTGTTTACGTACATCCAAGTAAAATGCAGTCTGAGGTCTGATTTGTTGGGTTCGGGTTCAGTATTGCTAGGAATGGGTTTAGGGTTAATTGACTTGCTGGCCAAGCTTTTTGTTTGGTCTGCTATCGGTTTACAATACTTGTTTTTCTTGATGCACGTGATTGCGCATGTGTACGTGCATCCGTGCAACAAATGAAGGCAATGCAACGAATCCGCAATACTTCCACAATGGCGACACTTTTGCGCTGTTGGGCATAAATACCTCAAGTCACATCTGTTGACAAGCGGGCAACAAAGAACATCAAGTGTGGCTTACGCTTTGGCACACAATTGGTGTTTAAAGCAAGCAAAATATATCTCACACACACACACTGCGAATATCAACGAAGACTGACGGCCTACCTCTCTTTGACAAACAGCCTGCTGCACTGAATGGATTCCTTGGCCAAGCCGCTTTCCTGCTGGACATTCGTCAAGGCAATTACTGCCCTCCAAGGCTTGTCGTGGTCCTCAGATCAGACCCCGTCGAGGAAAAACAAAGCATTGCGTCCTTGTGGGAGATGCACGGTAGCGCGATATTGGCCAAGCGCCACAAGCAAGGGACTCAACCGAGGTCTTCCTCAAAGTTTCTGTCTTAGACACTTTCCAAGCCGTCAATTCAAAAACCAAGTGCTGCACTCGTCTTTCAAATCTTCAGCTACAACAGCTAGGATGCCAATGCGACTCATGTCGACTGCGAGGGTCCAGACCAATGGAACGCGGGTGTGGTTTCGCTGTTGGGACATTTGCGGGTCATGAGTCACCCAGAATAGTTGCACAGAGCAAGCATAATATATAATATTGTATATATATATATATATGTATTATCTCTCCGGTCGAAACATAATTTCCATCAGGCTCGTGTCTGATTCCCAGTTTCCTTCACAAGGTTGCCGAGCGCATGTGACTCACAATCAAAACTTGCCAAACCGTTCGCCCCAAAATAATGATAACGAAGCAAAAGGGCAGAAAGCTGCGCCTGTTTATGGATGGGACTCGCCCCGCTCACCTTCAACCCAGGTTTGATTGTGGCTAACCTTGGGCTGAAAGGGTGTTCAAAACCACCACGCATCCAGGAAAATCACCCTGATGCAAGCAACACAGCCCAAACCATCGGGACACCAAAAACCAAGGAAACCTTCAGGAAACCAGACAAACAATACACAAACATGATACAGGGGGGCCCTTGCCCCGTCGGCTCGGGACTCGTCAACTCGCCAGGCGTCGGCAGCTGGTGCAGTTCAGGGCCAAGCCCTCGCAGCTGCCGCAGCTGGCGTCGCAGGGCTGGCAGTTTGCTGACGCGTCCGCGTACCTTGCCAGGGTTGCCATGGAGTCTTAAAATTTGGCTGGCTTCAAATGGCATTGGTGTCAAATGGAATTGGCTTTGAAATGGAATTGGCTTCAATTGATTGGCTTCAAATTGGTTGGACACGGTTGGTCTCAACTTGAAGGGCCGTCCAAATTAGGCGCATGAAAAGGCGGAATCTAGGCCGCCAAGGGTGCAAGGGGCCATACTTTTGACAACCACTTTATTAATTTATCGGGTCCCTACTTCGGACCCTTTCGTTTCAACAACCGTCATAGTGATATGCCTCTCTTTGACCACCTGCTGGAAGACTTGAATGAAACTCCTTTTGACATGTCCAAAGGACCGAGGTCGTATTCCGAAAACTCGGTTGAGTTGGACTACAAAACAAGTTGGGGGGGGACAAATTCCGGATGGACAAACCATCTGCACCAGTTGGATGGTTGAAACTCCAATGCATGCTGGGATAAACCACCTATTCAACCGCTGAAGGAATGTGTAGGATTTAGACCTAGCATCGAGTGCTTCGACAAACGGACCACTTCCTGCGAAGCCCTCTCGAGCTATGCAAAGCCTTCAATGCAGCCCAGGTCTGTGCTCCCGCCATACAAGACACGCTGACTAGATTCATGCCTTTACCAGCACGCACATGGGATAACCTTGTGCTGGTATATTCAAAACACATAATATGGAGACAAGCGGTTGGAGCAGGGCACGCAACTCTTCAACTCATCAAGCTCACGGGTCACTGCGTGTTGTTACCATGTGGGATAGTGGATAGAGGCCCCCCCAAGCAATTGAAAAGAACACCAACATAACAACCTGAAAGTTCATACTTCGTCCGCGGACCAGGAGCATCGAGAGATTTGCGAGCAGGATTCGTCTTGAAATGGTGGACCACCTTTGGTTGAGCGTGAAAGGGAAAACCAAAAGAAAACCGGCCATCTTAGGTGACCATGATTTTGGGAAAGGCCTAAGAGCTGCTGCCCCAGTCGCTTGTTCGCGCCGCAGGAATTCAGGCAGGTGGTGCCATCCAGGAAATTCCCCTTGTTGCAGGAGGAACACGCCGTTGCCACCCCAGCGCAGCTGCCGCAGGAAGCGTCGCCTCGCTTCTCGTGGCCGGTTTGCTGGAACATGGCTTGGGGCCAGGGCGGAGGTTGTACACCTGAAGATGATCTGCAAATGATCTAACCAGGGGAGTGAGAAAGGAACAAAAAAGGGCGGTCTGTTTCACTTGGGTCACCACCAGGATTGAAAGGTGAAACAGTTGAAAACGATTGACGGATCTTGAGGATTGGGAGCGAACCGGAACACGAGAACTATCTGAGACATAGGAAAAACCGCCGAGCAAAATGAGGCGATTTGACTCAATCACGCACATCGTGTAAGTACCGAAACAGCTTCCAAAAAGAAAACAACATACTGTATCTTGAACGACGAACACGCAAAGCGTCAACCCTGTCTTCCGGACAAGCACGGCACTGAAAGTGGTCGAATTTGTTTCAAAACAAAAAAGCGCTGACAGGACCGAGCGGCAAGGCCGACAAACCAGCTGCTCATCCGCGAAGTGTGCAGCAGGGCAGCTGTCCACGCACGCCTTAGGCATGCCCGCTCTTGGCAGGGCCAAGTGGCGAGATGGTTGCCGCTTATCTGGCTCAACAAATCCAGGAAAGCTTCTGACCACGGAGGAACAAACCCGTTGGATTGAAAAGGCCCACAAACCAAAAGTACAGGATCCCCTCTGAAATGCAGCATCCCTTTGAATCGACCAAGGGCGCTCTTTCTAAGTCAAAACTACACTCCAGCCAGTTGCAACTGCCTCCTACTAGTCCAATTCGTTGGTCTGGCCCCAACTGGCAGAAGTCTAGTCCAAAAAGAAGACCACATATCTTTCATGGCAGAACCCAAACTCGCATGCCGTTCTTAAAACATGATGACTCGTACACCCGTCAGCAATTGCAGGTGTTGCAACATGGACTGGGCACTGAGTATGTCAACAGAACGCACGCTCCGATTTCAATTGTCAAATGCACTGGTGACACCTGAGCCATAATCAAAACCCGGTATTAAAATGGTCTACCCAGAACCATGTGAAGAATCACCAAGGCGCCCGCAACTATTTCTGGCTGGGACTGCCCCTTACTAACCTTCATCTACCCGGGGTTTGATTGTGGCTCACCTCACGACCATGACACTGAACTATCCGCCTTAGCATCCCTGGCCCAGCTCGAAATGACCAAAGGATGGGAAGCTCTTTGCCAAGATGCCGTGCCATCTAAAACCTGCGGCTGACATGCGGTGGCGTGCATCTGTGCCACAGAGCCGTGCAAAAGGCCTAATAACAATCCATATTGTTTCAGGGAAGCAATTATTCGGAGACGCTAGGTTGTGACCTGTTCAGTGTTCAACTACACACATTCATGACTCAATGAACTCATGCCTTCTTGGGCCAACAGAGTGTGCAAGGTTACGCTTGTTCAACAACTTGCTCAATTCCAAAATGTTACTTTGCAGCCCTTTAGGCGACATGGGAAGGTAGGGCACACTGATTCAAGTACAGTTTGTGCGTGGACAGTGGAATATTCGAGGTTTGCGTAAAACCGCTGTCTGGTCTATGGGACCAACATGGCCGCGGGCATGAAAGCAATGCAACTAAAACCATGCATCCAGCGTTGAAGATGCCAGCTTGCAGACCGGACGTGCGCGCATGTGTGTATTTGTGTGTGGGCGTGGACGCCTGGGAATTTATGCGTGTGTGTGTGTGTGGGTGTCTGTGTGTGTGTGTGCTTGCTTTGCGCGTCAAGTCAATGACACATCACATCAACACAAAACAACACAGCCCTGGTGTAAACACCATGATTGGACAAATGACAAACACCAATCATACAAATGAAAGTAGCTTGGTCAATAATAAGATTGACATTAGCGAGAATGTGAGTGTATCTGATGATTACCAACACTGTGTTCATGCTTGTTTATTTTCAGAAACCAAACCATGTGTCATGTCCACCAACATGCAACTCGTGCTTGTGCTAGTCGGCACTGATGAAATGCAAGCTTCCCTTCTGTGGAGAATGAGCGCAATATTGAGGCTTCATTGCACCACACAACTTAACGATATGTCCACTTGCTAACCAAGCGTTGGTGAATTATGACCCACGGTCGCCAGTGCGACATTTGGGTCTGCAGCAAAGCACCCCAGTAGTTGTGATATTCATATGTACCTATATATATATATATATAACATTGTACATATGATTCGTACTATGATCCTCACTTCCTGAGTGGACTCGCCAAGAAAACGTCTAGACTTGCTGCTTGCCACTAACACGGTCTCTCAAAAGGTTTGAAGTTTACGAATTGAGGGGTGAGGATGCTGTTACATGCACCCGCTGCTTGAACCTAGCGCCATTGCACGACACGTCAGGCTGGCTCACTCTGACTCACAAACTACTTGGCCGACTGACTCCGACGAACCTCTTGATTATTGGGTGGGTGGGTGGGTGGGTGGGTGGGTGGGTGGGTGGGTGGGTGGGTGGGTGGGTGGGCGGGCGTGGGTGGGTGGGTGGGTGGGTGGGTGGGTGGGTGGGTGGGTGGGTGGGTGGGTGGATGGGTTCGCTTAATTGCTTGCTTGCTTGTCCGGCTCGGTTGAGGGCTTGATTGCTTGATTGTCTTGTTCGGTTGATGGCTTGATTGCTTGATTGCTTGATTGATAGATTGATTGGTTGATTGGTTGATTGATGGATTGACTGACTGACTGGCTCGTGGCGTGGATTGCTGAACCGACGGCTTGGAGGTTGGGCTGACCGTGGACTGAAAAATGGGGCCGTTTCGGCACGGGCTATTTAGATGTGGATCTCTCTCAAAAACTAGTAGGCTGTTCCTTTTGGCTTCTCACTGAAGTCGCACACACAGTTCTGTATTCTCTAATTTGAGACAAGCCCGTGTCTGGCCAGCTCTTAGTCCAGGAAACCAGGCAAGGCTTGATTGACTAGCGAACGCAATGCGGGATTGCCGAGATCGAAACCTTGTGACAAACTCGAGGGAACAAACACCGACACCCTGGCATGCCAAACAAGATTGTAAGCGAAGAACCGCCAGTTTGAGCCATATCCAGCTGCTACGTTTGACGTGCTGCATTGACCAGACAAGAACGAGGGGCGCATGCTTGTTTGAGCTGGAGTCGTTGAAAAACTCCTCACCTTTTGTCACTTGTTTTCCCCCTTAGAGCGTCGACTTCATGTGACATACTGAATGGCTCTGCTAATGGAAAAACAGCTTGGGCAAAAGTCGGAGATGCAGTACTAACCAGGACAAACATTACGGCGCTAAACGCAAAAAGGCGCAGGGTCAGATTCAACGGTTGCTCCTTGTTTAATGAATTAACCAGAGATTCAACAAAGGTGAAATCAACTTTTCCGGAGTTTCCACAGCAAGCTCAACAAGCCTGTGAGTGCGCACGAGCCAAACGTGATGCCAAACCTAGAAACCCTCACTACGCTTTCAAAAGTCAAGCAACACAAAAGGTATTTGGATTGGCGCCGGTTTACACCCACACACACACACAGACACAGCCCTGACTGGAAGGCATGCGCGCCCTGAAGCCTGGTCATACATGCTGTTCCAGGCAAGCCATGGTACAAAAATTGGGGTTTCATCTTCATGGATCGTTTGCCCCTCTCCAGCTAGACCCCTGCGCAGATTAACATGAAGCCCCAAGAGCCGATCCCTTTGTGGAGGAAGCTTTTGAACCGCTTTGGGGGTTCCATGTCAATTTGCAGTGGGGGGATGATGCGCACACACAGCGCGTCCTTGGGAGCTGTGCAGCTGGTGCAGTTGCCAGGTGCTCCTCAAGCAGCCCCCAAATGGCCGGTTTCCGTTGGCTTCCCTATAGATTTAACCCCCATGACTCAAACAAATGCGCACATCTGAATTAGGCATCTTTCTGGGATTTTGGGGAACCAACATAGACTGTAACATAGACATAAATAGACCAGACACCAGGGGTCCCGATTGAATTAACGAAACAGCATCCAGTTTGCCCTTGTACAATGGACACTCTGGGACAGAAAGAACGGCAGAGTATGCTTGCACAATGGTCAGCATGTGCACAATTCCAGCAGTGCGCATAAACCGTAACAAAATTAGCTTTCAAAAGATACTAATCCAACCCGCTGGCACGTTGCACAAATAGTGGTTTGAGGTCCTGTGCGATCTGCTGATACTGCTCTCAGAAGCCCAGTGGCCATGGAAAAGAAGGATACCTGCCTTTTTCAAATAGACAAACCCTTCCTGAAGGAAAAGGAAACCTGGTGCCACTGGGCATGGTTGCCCACTGAAAGAGGGCGTCTACGCTTTTGCGGGGGGCCCGGCAAACGGCAAACCGCAGGGCTTTGCCATCTCGGGGTTCATTGGGCATGGTCTAATCCTACAAGATGGAGTCACGTTGTTTTGGGGATCCCCTGAGCATGTTCAGTTCAAGGAAACACTCACTGTGTAATCTCGCCTTACACCCACTCTGCATGCAGAAATTCTGAGACGTGCACATGGCACTTGAAAAAACAGCTCAAGAACATGCTGCCAAAGTGCCGGCACAGGTGTGGCAGTGCGTCTCGCACATCTGGCAAATGCCGGCCTGCTCTTTTTTCCCCCGAGGAACGCTGGAAGCGTAATGTAGCAAGATGTAGCAAGTAGAATCAATATCACTTGCCATGTGAATGAGCCAACAGAAATCCCGAGGAAGACGTCCAAGCCGTCCAGGGTCGGGGTGGCTTAGCTTGCATATGTGCTCTTACGGCAAATGCTGCTCGTTGTGCGCTTCCGGTGTCAAGCATACATGGCTCTTGTTCTTCCTTTTTCAGAGGCTCTCTCGTTCCTGGAAGGTCCCTACGCGTGTCATGAAGCATTGAAGACTTCGCAACTTTGGCATTGATTTCAGCAGCATGTGTCAAAGTGGAGGCCACACCATGGCATACGGTTACAAGGTGCCTGCCGAACACAAAGGGGTCCCCTCTTCCTCGCCTTGCACCGGGCCCCCAGTTTTCAAAGAGAAGGTCGTGCACTGCAAATTAACACCGAGGTTCTAAACATACTGTTTTGGGGATCCATGTAGCCCATCTGATCTGAGCAAATCACTGGGGATCCTCATCAGGGGATTTCGCCCGTGTCACTCAGTGAGCAAAAAATCGCCTCATCTGGGAACTTGCTCTTGGGGCATCGCAGCTTGCAAACGCTGCCGTCCAGAAAGTACTGCTCCTTGCAGCCTAAGTGCTCATTCGCTCATTGGTGCCTCGAAACATAGGGCCCCTCACAAACTGTGTGCATTTTTTCGGTTCCAAGTGAACCACATCAAGCAGGCATCCTCAAAACGTCACACCAACAAAAATATCAGGCAGGATTGCGGTTCCCCAAACTTATGCGGCTCTCTGAACTTGTCCTTGGTGGTGGAGCCTCCCCTGACATCACCGAAGCTCGATTATTATGCAACTCCACGGCCAATTGGTCACCAAGAAGTCGGTTGCCACTTGGTTTGGCAGCTTGTGGATTGTGTCAGACTGTCAACCAGCGAACGCCATCGGATTGAACGTCGGGGCACTGGTGCAAGAATTGGCTCCTTCACTGCAGGTGAAGCAGTTGACGTCGCAGTTCTCGCACCTCGAGCACGCAAACTCCGACACAAAATAGGTGTGATGAGTGCAAGTGAATGGGGACCAAACTAGAACAAGTGCACGTTGCCTCCAGTGACTCGACCTGAACAGAAGCTGTTGCTGTGGGGCGTCTTTTCTGGCAAGCCAAATGGCAATCCGGTAGTTGCCAACCACATTGAGGTTTGCTCACCAGGTGACTACTGTTGAAAGGGGGCTGAAGAAGCATGACATTGATCCCAATCAATCACACATACATGTGAGACCCTCGCTGTTGCAAGCGGGGATCTGGTGGAGTTCCCGAGGTATCATGATAGCTTAATATGGTTGGCATTTCCTTTATTTTATATTATCCGCAGGGAGTAGATGGAGTAGGGAAGCCTGTTGTCCACTTCCGGCAACCCAGGACCCAAACGTTCAACAAATGTTGCGTTCTCCAACAATCAGGACAGCAGCCTGCGGCTGCCTCCAGCAATACACAGTACTGGCCTGCACTTAACCTGCAACGCAACCTGATGCTTAGTGTGAAACACCTGTTGCACACCAAAAGCCAATCTCCTACTTCAGCCTGTTGAAACCATCAAGATTTGGAAGTGGCAGGATTGGAGTCGCAAGCCAAAAGCGCACTGTACTGGCTAGCCGTTTGAAGAGTCTCCACTAATATATACAGCTGCCGTCTCTGGCCGTTGACGCATTGTGTGCTCTCGGCAAACACCGTCCATGATCCAAACGAATCAAGGGTAAGTTCGGTCAATGGAGGGCAAGTGCATCCGTCTCCAACGAAAAGGCAGTGACCTGGTAAAATCTGATGGCCCTTGGCTTTCTGTGCCTTCACTTGTCAAGAAAAGAGTGGCTCCCGTCGATTTGCAATGATCCCATTGCATCAAGCCTGGCCGATTCAATCGAAACAAAAACTGAAGAAGGCAGTTGCTGAGTTGCTGGTGACTCAACTAGCAAAAGCCCTATGCTACCAGCAGCCATGTTCAAGAAGCTGAAATTTCACGCTTTCTGGAACCTCGTAAAGCTAAGTTGTACGGCTATTACAATGTTTTGAGCCATTCAACCACACATTTGATACTGATAACTGAGAGTGGCTCAAACTGACGCCCAGCGGGCTTCCGCGATGGGGGTCGAGGCGATGGAGAGTAAACATGTTCAAGCAGCTGCAGGGAAGCTACATTATCTCATCAGCACATGTTGCCCCCGACTTTTTCGGCGCCGCGCCTGCCCTCCTTTGCATACTTTCCCGCGGGGCATTTGGACTTGCACACGGAGCCGTCCAAGAGGTCGCCCTCGCGGCAGCTCGTGCACACCTGAGCCACTGAGGCATGGCCAGACCAGAGCCTCGACGACGCAAGCAACTCCATCCCGGTTGCCCAGTGACCGGCGAGTGGAGAAAAGGGAACCATTTTTGGGGATGACCATTTTTAGTGGGACCCCTTGCTGACCCTTTAAGTGCTCGAAGACCCGCCTGCAAATGAACACGGAACCCCGAACAAATGGCCCCCCAAAACAAAGAGTCCGCAAAACGTGGGTTGGGGCTTGCATGAGGAGGTATGGCGACCTAGAAAAACCACTTGAGATCTAGCAGTGAACCTGGTTGCCTATAGTCACTCAGGCCAGTCAGTCGTTTGGTCGAGAGGGGTTCTCTTGACTTCTTGCAGTTGCCATTACGAGCCCATGCTCCAAGGCTTGCTTCTGGCCGGGATCTATCCTGGCCGGATGTGTTGTTCATACAAGTGTGTCAAGCAAATGCCTTGTCAAGGTTGCGTTTGCACGGTCAACAACGCACTCATCTATCATGCTTGGGATTGCCTGTTGAAAGCATAGTTTGCTTAACTTGTTGTGAGCAGCAAAACAGCATGATCTATTCAGTGATAGACAATGTATCCCACTCTACCATGTCTGCAAAGTATCATCCATGCGACATAGTGTTTGACGTGGCAAAATTGGGTTGTGCCCCTGGTTCTTTGCGCTGATGTCCTTCGGCTCCCGGTGTCCTCCCCAAACTGATCATCGACTCCAGTCAGTTGCTTCCACATTTCCCTCTCCGAATGTGCAGCTCCAATGTGGTTAGCGCCGAAGCGCGCGGTCAGTGCCCGCGCAGGTCAAACAGGATGTGTGGCAGAACTCGCAGATCTTGCTGCTGTTTGCGAACTTTCCGGGCGGGCATTCCTGCAAGCAGTGTGGCAAATAGAAAAGGACACTTCTTTGCGAGCAGCAGCTAAGGAAAATGTACTGGAAATGACATTCGGAGCGGCACAAACTCTGGTGGAATGATGAAATGATGCATGTGGCTAGTATCAGCTGTGCTGTTCAACATGGCGGGTTGGATCCTAATGACCTGACACCGTGCGTATCGCCAGGATTGCCTTGGGACCTTCTTCAATGAAGTGCAAAGAGACACCGAGCTCAAATATCTCAAAACCACGATTTGGAACCTTTCAGAACTGCTCTCAGTTTTGACTCCAGTATTTTGCTCAGGAGCTCGCCGCTCCTTGTCGTTGTGCTGGTAGTGTCTGTTGTTGAGTTTTCGACAACCACCCAATCCACCTTAGACCTGCAAATTCACAAACAACAGTTTTGTGGTGGGGGTCGATAAGGGCCAAATTGTTTTGACCAATCTCCCCCGGCTGGCAAGAACATGCTGCCCTGCTCAACATGCCAAAACTAAATCAACAGTCCAAATGCGAGGCCCAACCACCAAGCCATGAACATCATCGGTTTACACAAAGCCAGTCCAACACGTAATTACAATGGGGTTGTGAGGTACCTTTGAACCAAATTGCCTCATCATCATGGTAATTATATGTTTGTCCACCTGCCACGGCAACCTTCAGCAATTGGGGGTTGGTGTGCCTTCCCTGTCTCTGGACCTTCATTTGGATTAGTACTCCACGACAGGAACGAACACTCCAAAATGGGTACCATCTTCAAGCCACTAATCGCAAGGGTTTAACGGAATATACAGCCACTAGAAAGACTTCATATATGAAGCGTATATACTATGTACCCCATTTTCTCCTGGGGGCAGTCATTTGGGTTAGTGGATACCATCTTCGAAACACCCATGCTATGGCAGCAGCTGCTATGTTGCCAAGTCTCCACGACGCACGATGATACATCCAAGACATCTTCTGCTTTGCAAGCAATGCACGACTTGGCATCACCAAAGCACTCGCTGCAAGAGACGTCGCACGGGATGCACCTGTGCTGCTCCTCATTATCATACTGCCCCTTGGAGCATTCGCCTCGAGTTGTGGTGACAGTGGTCGTGGTCTCTGTCATCGTTGTAGTGGTCTCTGTGACAGTTGTTGTGGTGAAGGTGGTCGTTGTCCTTAGCTGAATTTGCCTTCCACCAAAAAGGGACAATGGATACTAGATGTCATGTTATTCACAGTCTCATACTATCAAATTGTGAATTTCCACAGCAGTTGGAGACGGTGCACAGGGTTTAAACATAACCAGACCATCGAAATCAGGAAGCATGACGACACTGTTCCTCCTGTCCGTTGTCATCAAGGCTAAAAATTCAACGACTCCAAGCACATGTGTATGTCCTCCTATCATTCGTTCTGCTGGAGATACAACCCATTTTGGCGAGCCCCCGACATTGTGAGACAATCACATTGTTGTACTTCCTTCCGAATGGAACATCCTCTGCAGACTAGTCGTCGTAAAGTGACGTGATTGTCAGTGTTTGATGTGTAGCTCGCCTCTGAATCACGGTTTGACGAGCAACCCTTTGGTTTGAGGAAAAGCGCTCAAAATAAAACTTGTGAGTAAGACCAGCACAAGTGCCGAGTTTTGCCGAGTAGATCTCGTTTCGGGAGCATTGGGGCGAGTCACTGCTCCCCGAATAGAGAATCCTAAAATGCCCAACTCAACTGATCGCGTACAGTTCTATGACATCCTACAATAGCTTGGCAAAGCGGCCACTGGGTGAGTCTCACCAAGCGTCACTGTGGTGCTTTCGGTTGTTGCTGCCGGTGTGGTGGCAACCGTAGTGGCAACCGTGGTGGGAGGTTCCGTGGCGACGACCGTGGTGGCGGCTGCCCTGAGTGTGTCAAGCTGCAACGAGCCGCTTGACATCCATTCAGGTCTGGCCCTAGCCAAAAACAGCGAAATCATCAATGATGGATGGCATAAGAGCCATCATCCCTATTTAGCCTGGGAATGGAGTGGACTGCGACATGTGCTAAAAGGGCGTTGGGCAGCGTTCAAAAAGCGACCTTTGTCGATAGGCTGATGCCTATCAATCGCTTGGACTCGCACAACACCCAATGACAGTCCGTCATTCTCACCCAAATTATCCCTTTTGAAGTGGGTACTCAAACACCATCGGTTGTTGACCGCATTTGGTTGGGAAAGGGTCCAATAATATGATGCTCAATTGATGTTAACTGTACGTATTTGCATGTCTGTATAGAAGACCTGAAGCATTTATAAGTATGTATACATCACAATGTCAGGTGCATACGCAAACTCTTACGTTTATCTGTCACATGAGGCTCATTCGATTTGAGACGCTGCAGCTGTGCATATTCTCAGCTACATGTTGATGGCCATAATGAATCCATCGGGAATATTGGGCTGTTGGCCATATGCGCTTTGGACAAGGGCCATGTTTGCACACATAGGCCACATGCATAAGAGTCAGCTGTCTAGATATCAACGGTTTGCATATGGGGGGTTGCCAAAACCAGAGGGGCCCCTTTGGGGATCCCCTTCACAAGGTGGCACTAGGGCTGAAAAGTTGCCACATGTTTCACAACCCCCCAAATGTTATCAAGGGGGGCATCAACATGCACAAACCAGCGAAGGGCAACTTTGTTGACTCTTTGCTTTTGACACCCAGAAGGGCAAACCCGTATCGGATCGGAAAGGGCGAGTCAGCGAGTCGCTTTGCGGTTTGGAGCTGCCAATGCGGGCGAGCTCTTTGGTGCTGTTGGAGAAGCAGCAAACAATGGCGATAAGTGGCAAGGCAAGGGATTCAAACCCCACCTATAAAACAACAAGAAACGAAGAAACAACCAGTGGTATTCTCAAAGGAACACTGCAAATACAATTGCGTGAAGCTCTGAAACACTGACGGGAGCAACTTATCTCGACGTACATTTTGTCCTGAAAAGCTACGTATTATCAGCGCTTATGTGGGATGATGCTAAGTCAAGAAAGCCCGTGTGGGGATCCTGAATGCCAGCAGTCCTGATAAATCCTGACAACATAGCGGTGACCATTTGCCACAAGCAGGCATCTGAGTTTGCCTCAAAATGGGAAGCCTCTCCCTTTCCCAATTTGTACGTGGCTTTGAGTTTTGAGACAAGTCCGAGTTGGCAGTGGCAGCCGAGGCTCGTGGTTGCCGCTGGAGGCTGTGTGGTGGAAGGCGCTGATGTGTTCTCCGGGGCCGAGAAGGGCGGAGGAACCTGAATGGTGGCCTTGGGCATGGATTCAAATTTGTAAGTCTGGCCAAAGGCTGGCCATGCTCGGCCTTTCCGGCTTCATTTTGCGTGGAATGAAGTAAATGCGACCCTTCGCGGGGAACCCTTTTCAAAGTTTCACCAAATGGGGTCTGAATGTCAAAATGAGCATCGGTGCTTATCGTGGAGAACGCATTCACTTGAAAGGGCTTTCCAGGCCATAATAGCTGACTGCTGGGCTTTGGGGCCTGGCAGTTTACTAATAGAATATTTATCTTGGCCGGCGTCATACTGTCTAAGTGAACGAGCTTCCTACAACACAGGTCGCACCCATTCTTGAACCTTCCAATTTGACGCAATCAGCTGGACGGCATCCTTGAGGCTGCACAATGAGCCAACATGGATTGCTCAACCGCCCAACATCCAGTCAGAAAGATGCTGCAACACGGTCACGCCGTTTGCTCATGGACCTTGGCAGCCTTCACAGCTCTTCTCACTTAGTGCTGGGTACGTCATCTCTCCGGCGTCTTGGCAAGGGGCCGACCCATCGGAGGAAACGTCCGCGCTCAGGGTTGCCGCGTCGAGGCGTGCGGCATGCCTCACGCCATAGCCGATGAGCCATGGAGAAACATATTGCTTCCTCAAAAGGACATGGGGAGATTAGTGACTCGCCGGGTCTTTTCCCAGACAATTTGGTGAGTCCCTCATGTCCCTTGGGGAGGGGGGAGCCTTTCTATTTCAGAAGGCCATGATAGTAGTCGGCACGCATGTGTAGACGATAAGCAATGCCCCGCAATGAACCATCATGGGTTTCCTGGTCTTCCGATCAGTGAGCTCGCCATAAAGATGAATCAGCATAGGGCCCGCAGGATGCACGCCTCATGTTCACCAGTCACAGTCTTCCGCAAAGCCACTTCATACAGGGCATTACATGCGTTTGCAACGCGCATCGGGGGTAAGCAATATGCAGAGTCGACATAGAGTCTTGACCGAGTTCAAAAGCTGCTCTGCAGAAAAGCGCCTCCAGGGATGTGTCCGAACTAAACGTGGCACACAAGACATCCCTTGCATTTTCCGGGCCGGACCAAGAGATGATATTCAACGCTACCAAAGGGGACATCGAAGCAAGTTTGCATACAACAATCACCGGGACTTTTGGCTGCGCCTGTGGCGCCGCATCAGAGCGCTCTCTTCAAGCCTGCTCAAGGCACGAGGCACGAAACACCTGTCTTGTATGGACTCATGGCATATGTTCAGATCTTGCTTGAAGGCGTGGTGCCAAGGGCGCGAGAGGGAGCAGGTATACAACCACACTGCAGTGGTGTGCCACATGCGGTCGTCCTTGCCCGTGCATCAACTGTAAGTTCACAACAGTTGCCCTGAGCCCATCAAAGCTGGCCGGAGCTCAAAAGTGAAGTCAGAATGAAGTGATGTACTCACAAACACACAGTCTTGCATGTCAAAGCTTGGGGAACAGCCCCGATCCCCATTTGTAGGTGTTGGGTCAGTTGAAATAGATGGCACTGGTTGCAGTGTGTTTATGTCATCTGAAGCACGATCAAAACATGGGTAGAGGAATAGGGGATGGTCCCAACCATAAAGAGGTGCAGCCACCGTTCTTATTCTTTACAGGACTTGGGTAGATCCTTGAGTACTAATAGGTTGTGTTTTCAAGGGCGTTCAGGGGAAACACAAGCAACACCACCACTTGCGGCGAAGGGAACACCCAAATACAAACTAGATGAGTGACCTTTTGTGGACGCAAGGTCTTCTGCCAATATCAGAAGACACAAAGATCCGCAATCCGTAGTGGGACGAGCCGATGCAAACCAAACAAAACGCATAAACTCATGGCACGCAGCGTTTTGAGGGGAAACCTTTTTGTCGCGGGGTTGTTGTTTTTTGGATTGAATCTAAAAGCAAACCACTTGTGTGTAGGATGTGTATCTCATGAACAAAACAAAAGTATAGGGCATATAGTGAAGGGCTAAGTCGAATTGGAAAACTTCGGGGGAGGCGGATCAATGGGGCATTTAGCGGGCTTCGCTTGGGCTGATCATGCCGATCCAAGGATGAACCTCCCATGGATCGCCGTGGGTTGACTTCTGACGGCCTCAGTCAGGGGCGTTGCCTCGGTTCGGCGGTGTTTTATGGCTTTCCTTTAAAGCAACCACCTCAATAACAACACACACCCAGCTCATGGCAAAACAACCTCATGAGAGGCGCCAGGTCAACATCGCCAGTTGTGCATCGCGCCTGTCGACACTCGAGGCAGCACAGGTGAACCTGGTCTGTCAAAGAGTTTCGACAAAATGAATCCTCTCACACATCATCTCTGAAGACAAGCCATCTAAGCTAACCTCCAATTGGAGCATAGACAAAGTACAATCATGACCGCCTGCCCCACTCATTCCGGCTAGTCAGAATTCATAAGCCAAGTCAGGGTCGCTTGTAGAACAGCCTCACTCCCGATAAGAGCCCATGCAAACGCGAAGCATGTTTTGCGCCTTTGGTGGAGGTGGTGACGTGACGTATGTGTTGGCCGTGCTCAACACACTGGTTCAAAACAGAACCCTCCACCGAAAAAAACAAGCTTCCAGAAGCAGAAGTGGCCAAACAAGAATGAAGGCAGCCATAGCAACTAGCAATCTAGCGGCCAACGAGCGACCAGCCGCTCTTGCAAATCAAAACTACAAAAAAAAAACACCAATGCTTCAAGCTCGCAAACCATCTAAGATTGTGATCATGCTTCACCAATGCAACAACCATGCACGCCTTGCATACCTGCGCTCTGTCAAATCAACCATGCGGGCAGCTCATCGGGCGAACACACATTCACATTTGCTATGCAAAACCAGCTAGCCAGCAAGCAAGCAATGAGCAAAGACAGCAACAATGCGCACGCAAGAAAGCACCGACACCAGGACAAACAAGCTCTCGAGAAAAGCAATACATGTCAAAGCTAAGTGAATCCAGGCCCAGCAAGTTGCGCAACGCTAAAACGGACTCAAATAGATTCACCACGTCCCCTCATGGCCTCCAAAGCAGCACCGAAAGGGCCCATCGCATGCCGTCGTTGACGTTGACCAACGAACCTGGGCAAACAAACAGAGATTCAAGCCGATGCTCGGTGAAAGTCAGAAAAGCCGAGCAGAATCTGTCTCAATCCGCGAAAAGCTGGATAATTTGACTGTTTGACTTCTCAAACATCACGAAGAACCGACTGTGCTTACTTGTGTGTGTGTGTGAAACCAAGCTTACTCACTCACAACTTGTGTTTCTTGGTCGTTTGAGAATCATGTTGCCCCGGGGTTTCTTAACTTGCTGCTGCTCTGCCCTTACGCTGTCGCAGGAGTCTGCTATGTGTCGCATGCAACTCAATCTGGGAGGAAGTGCGAGCCAAGCCGCGCTCTTTCGTCTAGCCGCGCGCTAGGCGAGGATCACGCATTGTGTTGGGGAAACCACGAAGTGAGCCGGCGATGACTTGAGCCAGCCAGCTCTGTGCACCAAGCAGGCCTCACATCAGGCAAGCTATCACACTAACCGGGACTCAAAAACTGCCAGCATCTGCCAGCGAAGCGGGTTGCCAAATAGTTCACCCCTGCTCCGCAAGGTCGCTATAATTCACCCCGATCTATGAAGCAGTGCCTGTAGCCAGAAGAGGAAGCTAACATTTCAAACGATTTCAAACGCGTCTGTACCCTGAACACATGTTTGCGGACGTTCATTGAACAAACACGTACGGTATTAAGAACATCGCGGGGCGCTTGCTCGGGCAGTGCATCTCACGGGCATCTTGTTGCGATCCTTGTGGCCTGACAGCGACAAAGGTAAATCAAACTCGTAACCGACCCAAACACCAGCACTGAGCTCGATTCACCAAACAGGCACTCGAAGTTGGCTGCAAACGTCAAATATACCTACTAGATTGAGCGTGGGACTATAACCTTTCTTAAGTACTTGTTCACTACTTTAGTTGGTGTGGCGCTAAACTTCGCCACTTTGGGCTGCTCGCAAATCCCTCCTTGAAGAGAAACACATATACCCATCCAAGCATGAGTGCTTTACTGCTTGACACACTTCAATGCTTCCAATTATCTAGAGATTAAGTCCCTACTTGTTGAACCACTGTTTTTTACAAAACAGGTTTCAATGAATCCTGAATGTGTCATGGCTTTCTGGAAACAAGGACCCGGAACAACAGGGGAGGGTGTATATCTTCCCCCAGAAATTCCACGCCCGGCTGTGGGCACGCGGCCACCACGGGATCCCGGAGCCCCTCGCGAGGGTTGAAGCGCGAATGCGTGGCTCTCCGACTCGAATTGAACTCAAATTCAGGAAAGTCATGGCAACCCAGGCTTCACAAATTCCTTGGTGTATATATATATATATATGTATAAACATATGTATGTATGTAGATATGCATATATATATATATATAAAAGCCCCAGCAAGGGTCCATAGATGCACCCAGACAACGCCCTGCACACAGAACTTGCATTCATTTCCTGTACGGTCCTATGGAAACACATCTGGCCACAGCCCAATGGACTCGAAGACCGTTGTTTCTCGACCGCCCAGCTCCGAACCAAACTGCTGGCATTCCTGGACGAGGGCGTGGCCAGGTGCGTTGAGCATGTGGATCACAGTCAAGACTACATAACTCTTGCAAGAAGACATAAGAAATCTAGTGAGTTCCCCCATCTCCCTCCCACCTCATATGAATTCCCGTTTTTTCCTGATGTGCCAACTCAATCTACCGCGGTAAAAAGTCCTTGAACACAGGGAGGGAGGGGGGAAGATATGTTTTTGATGGAACGTCCGAATGACATGGAAATCTAATCGTTTATGATGACATGACCAAACAACAGCCAACTCATGGCACTTAATTGCTAGCGAGTTGGCAGCTGAAAGTGTAAATCATGTTTTGTTGGCAATTGCGTGATTGAGCGCGCTGAAAGACGGCCAAAGTATTGCTACGGATCATGCACCGTGTTTTCAAACACTCAGTTGGTGATATGTCTGCAATGCTAACAGCACACGCGAGAACGCATGCCAGTTGGAAGTCCAAGCCAAATCGCTCACTGCTTGGTTCTCAATGACCATGGTCCAATGGCAAATAATCAAGAGTCCATGTTGCTTTTAGATCTTGAAAACATTGAACATTGCCTTGGGGAAATCGACGGAGTCCTGCTGATTTCTTCTTGGGAACATAAAAGGCCAAGGCGACCGACGCAGAACATAGTATACCCACTGTGCATCCCGCCTCCTGCGAAATCATACAGGTGCTCATTCGCACTCGATGCCTGAAGGGAAGGAGCATTACCTTGAAGGTGTTTAAACACAGTGGAACCGATTCGGAACCAAGGTGTTCACCTGGCAAATAGATGGCACTGAGAAGGACTAGCCACTCAACTGGAACCAGTGCCATCTAATTTCAGCGAAACTAATCCGGTCCTTGATTCCTGGCTCCAATTTCTAGTGCAAGTGAGAAATGCGCAATGAGCATCTTGCGCCGCAGGGTTGCGATATTCGTTAACAGCAAACGATTCGCCATAATGCCATCCGTGATGTTGCCACGCCGCGGCGCTGCTTCGTAAAACAGACAACTTGCTTGGAGTATCACACGTCAAGGAACGCATGCGGCATTCTTGTGGTGCAGTGAAAATAATATTGTAAAAGTTACGAAGTGCCCACACGCACCCGCAGTCATTGCTGCATGCTTATACCGGGTATTCTCCCCCTTTCTGGCTCTCTCGCTTGTGGTTCTCTCTCTCTCTCTCTCTCTCTCTCCATTCTCTTCATCTCCCCGCTCCTCTCTATAACAAAGCTGTGCAATCGGCTCTGCCAAAGTAAAACTAAGGGCCATCAAAAAGCATGAAGGTCCTCCTGCACAGGTTCCCACCTCTTAGAGGCTGGTGCAAAATACACAATGGTTCATTTTCTTAAGGAGCCACAAACTCATATGCGTTGCCCTGCCGTGCTTTTGTCGTTTTCTTTGTTTTACCACACAGGTACGCAAATCAAGTCACGTTGAGGCAACAAGTACATAAACGCCCAGGTAGCACGGTCTTGCCAAGAGAGTCACAGTGAAAACCTAGCATTGTTTATCGTCAGGACTGTTCCCCAATCATACGTAATTAAATTACCCGGGTTTGGAGGCGTGCTCTAACATATCCCCAGCGCACCGGTCGGCTCACGCCTCTCCAAAGTGCCAAGCCCTCTATCCTGTCAGAGCCACTGCAGCGATGCTCGCTGTTTTGGCGGGGAAGTTATTGAATTGGCTATTGACACGAGTGCCCTTTGCAAAGGGTGCCTTTGCCCATAGCGACCTCTTCACTATTGGACCATTTTGTTGGAAGGGTACCAATTGGCAAAGTGCACCTTAGGTAAAAGGCACCCTTGCCACCAACCGATCAACATGATTCTCTGACAATGGCTGGGACTCCCTTGCGGCGGCTTTCAGAAACTGTTTGCAGCTGCAAAGGAGCCTATTGCGGCATGAAAGTGGATCGTCCATTTTGGGCAAAGCTTTCCAAACCACAGATTTCAGGTCGTGGTTCCAAGTCGCAAGAAACAAAAGACCCCGCCATGCCCCTCTCGCTCTCTGCAAGCATGCCGACAAAAGAAAACACTGACTTGCGGCATGCCAGCATCGCCTGACTTGCCGGCTTCGGATTGGCAGTTTTGCGCTAATGAGCCTGGAAACGGCAAGTGGCAAAGCAACCAGGCCAGCTGACTTGCAAAGGCAAGTCGGCAAGCGAATGGATGCGAGGAAGGCACCTGTGAAGTCCTCGTGAGCGACTTTGATTCCAAGTTGGGGGATTTGTGGATGAGCGAGGCCACAGTGTTGATTGGTTGGTTTCGACAGTATGTTTGCGATGATTCTCCGTCCTCTGTCACCCAACATAAAACATCGCTGAACACCTGAGAGGAAACCATGGTTGGGCGCGGAGCAAAAAACTGTGTCTGGTCCGCAAAATTATTAGGCAACACAAAGCTCATGATACTTATACAAAGCCAACTACTCAAACAACGTATAATCCACACCAAACCTAGCACTGAACCGTTCATCCAAAATATCCAGGGCTGCAACAGCAAAGGCTATCAGATTTATCAAGCCAAGCCTCAGGCATAAGTATGCAATCAACACTAATTCAGTTCATTCGGTACTAAACCAGTGCAATAACTCTGGGCAAAGGCATGGTCATGAACTGCTCTTCGATGGAAACTCTCCGTCAACGCGACCCTGCTTCAGCACATCAACATGTGCCACATTTGATACATAATAATCTTACATACACATTAATTGTCATATAAACAAACATACATACATATATATATATATATATATGTATATTTGTACACGCATCTCTCATTGTTTTGCTGTGCGAGTAATCTTGTCATCTTGTCAGAACTCCCCATCCACGGGTCTCACGGCTCCAACTCCTCCCCGTCGAGCCTCGAAGACCATTTGGACATAGCTGTTCATCTCCCCAAGTGAGGCGGCCTTAGGTCAGGCGCCTTGATTGCTTTTAAGCCAAAAGAAAACCAAAGGGAACCCATGACACCAATCCCACATGTATGCAGTATGCAGCTCCTTACAAGGGCTTACGCAGCTTTCAAGTTTAGGTTGTGGTGTTCCTTGTTCCCTCATAGCAGTTTCCTTTGAAGGCAGTTCCAGCCAAAAGTGCGACTTTCAAAGGGAGACACTGAGACACTCGACAAAGAGACCCGTATGGTTGGTAAATTACCCATCAACGATCGGTAGACATGTCAGTGCAGCCCCATCCAGCCCAACTGCTCAGCAAAGACCAGTTGTGACCAGTTGTCACTACATAAGCAAATACTCGAAAACCTCAGCCGCAACCAATTCAAAAACCAATCAGCTCACAACAGGAAAACACCACGGAGTATCGACACTTGAGAACCAAGTCGTCGTTTAGCCCTTTTCGCAAAGGGCCAATGAGTGACCCACGTGCGCTTTCTAAAACTGGGTGTTAAACAATAAGAGGTCTGGACAAATAACAAAACAACACCTATGCCCTTTTGACTTGCTTTGGGAATCC